TGCTGCATCGTTGTAAAGATTCGTCTACCGAATAATCTAGTTTTTTGTTTGCACTTGACTGTTTAGTATGAAACACGAACGGGGAAAGGTATTGTCCAAGGGAATGAAATTTGACATAAAAAAGATGTCAAGAAAATGACAAGAATAAGCCAAATTGCACATAATGGACCAATAAACTTGGAGTCGCAAGTGGTTCTCAGAAAAGAAGGCAAAGTTGATGCAAGAAAGGGACATGCCTGATCACTGGTTTCTTTGAATGCAAAGGAAAAAAACAAATTCTGATAACATTTGATTGAAATGGTTTTCGAAATGAAAAACCTAAAGGTTTTGTGGAAAATATCGTAAGTAAGTACGCAATAAGTCTGAAAAACAGACATCAATTATTTTAGCGGATGATTACCAAAGATTCATGAGAGCCTTCTGTTATGATTTTGCTTTGATCTTATGACTAAGATATGAATTTTTGGTACATCTTTATAGAAAATGAATTTGTTGAAAATATCTGCAAGCTGACCTAATCTGTTACCAAGGAATATCTAATATCGGATATGATTTAACAAGTTAAGAACAAACTGTAACAAACGTCTTATAGCCAAATATGTTCCTTGCACATCACCAGAATTTAGCAGTCCATGCACTTTTTTGCACCTATTTTGCCATATGATGCTGGGATGATGCTACCACAAATCATATTTGATACATTGCACCACTTCATTGTTTCTTTTGCCTCTTCCCCTGATAGTCCTAGCCTTTTCAAGTTTCCCCTGACACTGATACTTGTTGCAATTCCATTTTCATTCAATAAGTTTATCAGTGGTTGATACTTATTTCCTTTTTCTCGGTAGGATGTATCCATATACAAATCAAAGCAGACTGTGATTTCAACAACTTGGCAGCTAATGCATAACCCAGAAAATTAGTTTCGCTATGTGTCTATCTAACACCACGTGATTTCATGTCTAATTCCAAGGATTTTCTTGCCAGATACCGTATGTTCTCCTCATCGTAAACATTTCCATCAAATTGATGATTCATGTTGCTTTCTGTTTCCTTATTAGAAATGGAATCCCTTAGGAACAACAAACTTTCAAAATGTTTGCAAGTGGGAGTTCGTACCCTGGGTGCCAGAGCCTCAGAGAGCCAAAGGATGAAGAACGGGGGAAAGGAAATGCGAAGGAGAATGGAAGAGGAAAGGGAAGAGACTCTCCATTTTACTATTTCATTCTCCTTGGCAATTCCTTCCCCTGTTCTTCACCCTTTGACTTTTTAAGGCATTTCATCATCCCATCCCGTAAATATTTCCATTTCTTTCTTATAACATCTTCTGCAATAAAAAGTTAAAATATATCTTAGTAGGCAACCTTAATTAGGATTTTGTTACTTTGTTACTTTGGCTTTCGCATCCCAAAGACACCTGCATGCCTTCACTTTATTTATCAGCAGCTCATCGTGTTGGTCTTCCTGGTTTTCAAGACTTTGCTGTTGCACCATTACTGATGTAAAGGCCCCTGGAGCCTGTGGGCTGTCGTCAATGTTCGAATCGTCTTCGCCTTCACTTCCCAGCAATCTCTAACCTGCACTTGAGCACCAAATAATTTTTTAAGTAGGACCTGTTCTTCAGGGCTCAAAATCTCCTTTTGATTCAGGCCAAACATTAGTCCTGCTAAATTTTGTTCGGCAGCCATTTTGCATAGACAGAGTTAAAGGGCCATTCCAGCCCAAAACTTTTTTTGCATAAATTGGTAGTTAGTCGAGAAAAAGAAGCTATCGTGAAATTTTTTTTCGAAAAGCTTAACTCGTTTTCCAGATATAGACGCTCAAAGTTGAGAATCACCGTAAAAATACGACAAAATTTTTTTCGGAAAAAGCACTTTGTGACGTGTGAAAGGGCTATTGTTTCAACATTCGGCGCTATTGTTATACGTTCGCACTGAAATTCGCACGACTCGGTAGAGGCTCGGAAGAGGCGATTCATGTCGGAATCTCGGTTGTCGTTTTATTTATTTTCCTTCATCGCGATTGATGTTCAGCGGAGGCTTCCAGCCAACATGGACTAGTAATTCGACAAATCAAAGATGGAAGCTTCAACCTGAACTCATATCCTCATCTTGGCAACGCAGCAAGCTTTTCAATATGGAATGCTTCACGAATTTTCAGATGTGAATGGATTTCTGACCGAAGGCATTTCTTATCGTCGTGTCATCTCGGGGATTTCCAGGGAGCTGAATAATAGAATTGATGTCTCACCGCAGTAGAAGAAGAACCCCATTCACAAGATGGAAACTTTCCCGTAAGTCACAATTCATCCTTATTATCATTTTACTATGTTGAATGTTAGGCGAAACTACAGGGTGTAGATGTTTGGAGGGGCTTTAAATACAGGTTTTCTAACAGCCAGTCTTGTGAACTGTCCCCCAAATGGTCAGAAATGTGGTAATATGAAAAGTACAACAGGGGCTCTCAAGCAAAATGTCACATAAAATAGTACCAAAAGTAGAAATTTGCTACTTTTTTGTACCAACAAGGGGGCCTGAGCCTCCTAGCACTACATCCCTGCCAATGATCTGTGCACTACACCTTTGCCTGAGGTATAGATGTGTAAAATTTCCCAGGGTTTGTCTCCTGAACCCTTCTTCTTCATGTTCTACCTTGTTCTGCCTTCAATTTTGGAGTTCTGCCTATTTCATCATAAAATTGATGCACAATTTCAAAATTTTGCCAGATCAATATCCAGGGCAAAAGATCTACTACCCAAAAGAAAAAACATGGAATTTACACCCTTGGTTTTGGAAAAAAGATGTGTAATATCCTCATTCTAATGTTTTAAAGGCAGAATTGTTTATATTTGTTAAATTTACCTTTGCTATTCTAGCATTGATTCATATAAGCATAGCCTATATCATTTAAATTCATCTTTGTGTTACTTCAAGTTAATATCCTTAGATGCTATTTGCTTTAGTAACAGTGGTTGCCCTTTCACCCCTAAATTTCTCTTTGATCCTTCTAAATATCTATACTCTGAATGCCCCTGAGTGTCCAAGTTTCTTTGATCATTTTATGTTTTAATATGACTCAAAAGTAAATTTCACTGGTATGTTAGTATTTATCCCTGTCAACCTTATTATTCTAGGCATAAAAAAGGTTACAAACTCTTTTATGGATCAGTAGAAAGGATCTTGCAAAAAAATGCTAGATGAAGGTTGGAGATTACATTTATCTGGTTACTGGCTTTGTGGGAGTGATAACTTGCCCCTCTCTTCCATTCAAGAGTTACCACAAAGACCTCAACACATTATTCTGTTTTTGTATTAACATTTTCACAAAGGAGACTATTTTTCTAAAATTATTAAAATTTTATATATAATTTGGTCATATATAATGTTTGCAAATTATTTAAAGCTAGTAACAACATATAGGTATTTTCTAGAAGTTTTGCAATAGATTATTGTTTCATGATACTTTTATAAGAACATTTCTCATGTGCAATAGAAATTACAAATTGCTAGCTAGTTCACTGGCCTGATTGTATAATTCAATGTAGCCAAGTATTTAAATACATCAAACATGTATTTATTATTCATAAATATAGCAGGTTGAGATTCTGACAGCTTAAAGGAGCCGACAAGGCCCCTGTAATAGCTTAAAGGTTAAATAGGTTAAATACAAAAATTATATTTACAAAAGTATATTGAAAAAGTTGAATTATTAATATAATCTCAAATCCCTTTTTTGTTTGTATAAAAACAAATTTATAGTTTTTGAAAAAGTTGTTTGGCTCATGACTAATGGTAGGTTTTTAGTCTTGTCTTGAAAGTTGTATACTTTCTTGTCCATGTCCTCATTTGTCCTGTTTTATTTCCAATAAGTCATGTTGATATGAAGCTCTTTATCCTAATGAATATGTTGTATCAATTCATACAGCTTTCATTCCCGGTATACTGGTTTTGTTTTCTTCTTTCCTCCCGAATTAATTGCGCGATGGTTTTTTAGCTGTTGCACTAAAGGAGGGGCTGATGAAAAAGCGCGAATCTTCTTTTTAAAATCAGGGAACTGGCCTGCCAATACAAATTGCTTCAAAAGCAACATTCCATGAAAGTCTGTCAACATCCTCATGTCTCTGTCTCGCTGGCCTACTTTGCCAATTTGACTTCTCTGTCAGAAAGATTCGTGCGACAAAAAACTTCCATATTCGATCAGAGTATCAAGACTGATGAGCGATACTTCTCTCTTTATATCGATTCCAGATAAAAGTCTGGCCTTCTAACAAACATGCCGCTGCTAGGCCCTGTCTGCCATTTCGCTAGGTTCTCGTTGACAGTTTGGACAGCCGATGATACTTGCCGCGAACTTACCGAGGCCGAAAATGCTTGTGACGTCAATCCGGAGATCTCCGATAACACGGTTGAAAAACAATTCAACTCAATGACCAATTTACAAACGCTAATAACTACAAAACGGCTAAAGATATGAAAAAAATAATAACAGATTCGTTTTCAGGAGGTCTGATTACATCGTGTTCTGAAATAAAAATTTTGGGCTGGAGTGGCGCGAAGTTTTCAGTCAGTCTGATTGAATAAATGTCAGTGAACAACAAGCGGCCGCCCTGAAAGTTGCCTTGAGTTCGATTGTCATACGTGCAGAAAACTGTCATTGGCGGCCGCCTGTCCTGTCAACCTGATTATGAATTCATTGCCTTTGAGCATGCGCGCGGCGCGGCCAAGTGGAGGTCGGCCTTAAACATGGCTGTTTGTGTATTGGTTTTCAATAATTTTATGTGTGCAGAGCCGGGGCTGGTCATCCGCGGCTGTTTAGCCGCCCTGTCGCACTCTGGCCGCCCTGTTAGAGTCCCGCGTTTTCAAGATTTTGTCCTGATAACAATCGCTTGAGACCTCTTGAGGCCACAAGAAACAAGAAATGATAGACCAGCCGAAAAGCCTTCTAAGGCTAATAAGCCGCAACGCGCACTGTCATTGCAAAGAGGACATCATGGCTGTCAAGTTTTTCAAAGGAACTTTTTGAGATTAAATGCATAAATTTCGACTTTGCAAATGGAGAAGAGCAGTGGAATAGAGTGTGCTGGCTGCAGGAGGCAAATCAGTTCAAGTAGCCAGTCTCTGTTTGCTCTTAATGATATATGGCATGTCAGTTGCTTTCGGTAAATAATAGTTTATTTTTTTATTATCGCATTAATGTTTGGTCTAATTTCCGTGTCCTGTATGTTATTAGAGAATATAATTGATAATTCTTTCTTTATTGCCATTGAATAAAACCCTCGAAGCTATCTCCAAAAGCTCTAACGAAAGTTAAGACATCGCTGACTGTTCCACGAAATATTTCCTTGACCGTATGAAACCAGTTAGGACAAGGAATCTCAACAACCTTGATCTGTTGCAGGGAGATTAAAAAACATTGCATTTCTTATTTGTTTGTATTTTATAAAAAATTCTGTAGATAAAGAAGCTTGTGCTCAGCCTCCAGCTGATAAGGATGACCAACTTGTTTACATTCCTTTGATGAACCTCCTTCAGTGTGACCGAAGATTGGCGATGAACTTTGTTTGGTGAAACTGACTAAGGATGTCGTGTTTTTCTTTATGAAATTGAGATGAAGTTCATCTGAGTACTAATAAAAAGGGTTCTTTTGCAACACCTTTGGCAAGGCCAGTCCGTCAAAACTGGTTTTAGTGGGGGAAATGATATTTCAAAGTTCTCCTTACTTTCCAATAATTTTTAGTTTTTGATCAAAATTAATAACAAATCTTTGTTCAACACATTTTTCTTGCCATATAAACCACTTACATTTGCCTTAGTTTAAGTTTTTTTCTTGAACTACCCTCACCAATTTATGAAAAGGCTCCCCTAGCAGCTTGACAAAATTATCATCATAATCTTTTGTTTGTGTATTATGTAGAAAATCTAGAAACAGTTTCTTCCTTGAATTGACTTAACCAGATCAGCTGTACTTACAGACATCCCTTATAAGGCCCTGTTTAGAAGTGTTGTTATAATTTGTGTCTGCAAATAATGGATAAAGCACATTGCTTTCATACAAGTTACTTGTTACTTGTTAATGAATTTCTTTTTGAGCTTTATGCATTATGTCATGGTTTATCATATTTTCCAGGTGCTCAGTATGTTTAAAGCCTTTGGAAAAACATTATTATATCAAAGACAAATTACTCTTTTGCAAAGAAGACTATGATCTGCGGTTTTCCCAGCTGTGTCTGAAATGTGAAATTAGGATCACAGGACCAGTAATGGTTAGTTTTTTGTTTTTAATATGTTCACTGCAGTTGAAAAATATGTTTTGAATGGAACTTTCCAACAAAAAAGGGTTTATTCTCTGCTTGCTAGGTCTGATGGGAAGGAAACAAAGGCTCAATGCTGTGTGAAAAAATGTCCCTAATGATAGACAGAAAGGAGATGCTAAAGGTTCAAGAATTATTTCAAATGCTGATGTTGACAAAACTCAGGGGAGTTTAGTAAAGACAATGGCTTTGAAAAAAGCAAACATTTTACGACATACTAAAAGCTTTTTCGTCTGACACTCCTCAAAGCATAAAACGTCAGAATAGGTTCCGAAAAAACACAATGGAAAAATATATACCCAGTTGTGGATCGAAATGGGCCAATCAGAAAAACGCAAGCACAAGACCGGTATAGTTGACCAATCAGTGCCGCGAGCCTAAAGAAAAATTACCAATGGAGTCCAAGAGAGAAAACGAACTCCTTTTGTCTACACAATGACGGCTTTTTCGTTTTTATGTAGATTGACTCCAAAACTGCTAGATGGAAGGATGACTGGGCTCTGCCAATTATCCGAAACATGTCGTCATTATAGAGTTTTGCACAATCTGGGTTGTCTAAAAGATGTAAAGACAATTATATAGCTCTCAAAAGTTCAGCAGGTTGGGAGACATTAATTGCACTGCTTTGAGCCTTTGTTTAGATATTTTATCTATTGTAGTATGCTTCTTCTTGTTATCTAATCTTCTTATCTAAAAATTACATTTTTATAGAAGCATTAAAACAGTAAGGGGAACAAGAAATGAAATTCCAGTGGGAGTTTTTTGCCAGTTTAGTTTGCTTATTTGTCGGAATAATTCTGATCAGATCCGGTCGGTCTAATCAATTTTTGATCGGATCTTATTTGTTTGACCCATTTTGGTAAGAATTGTCCCTTTTGTCAGAATAGTGTCCTTTTTGTCAGAATAGTGTTGATATTAGTCAGATCCATTTTTGTCAGTTCTCTCTTGTAAGATATCTTTTGGTCAGAAAAGTGTCCCTTTTGTCAGAAAGTGCAGTGGTGGATCCTTAGGGGGCAAAAGGATGCAGTTCCCCCCAATATTTTTGAAGGCAATGGTCTTTTGTTCTAAAACAATTGGAAAATGGAATGTCATCCTATCAAAACAATAGTCATAAAAAGTGCCGCTTTTTGTACCTTTTCTCAGAATTAAGTACCCTACCTATCTAAGCCAGTTTCTTCTGAAGGGCTGTTTCATAAGATAAAATAATCAAGACTCTCTTGAATTATTTAAAAACCTTTGTAATCTTTTTTCAAAGTGTTAGCAACTTTAAAACTAAGTGTAATGATCAGGGTTCTTGTTATGACAGTGAATAGCCTGTTAATAACCAGCTCATTGATGGAGCGACGGGCTAGGCCAAAGGGCCAAATGGAGGAGAGATACAAGAGACTTCTCTTTGTTGAATCCAAATTAGACAGCCTGGATCTTTTTAGCAGAAAAATTTTTTTTGGTCTGCTCAATTGCTTTTTTGCTTCATTTTTTGTATGTTTTTAAAAGAGGTTTATTGTTAAATCAGGTACCCAAAAGTATCAGATCACAAGGAAAATTCTTTCGCATAATTATCGAATGGCCCCCCTTAAGATGAATAGTTCCTGGAAACTTGAACCATTCATGCATTCATGCATGTCATACAGGATCACACATTAGCTGCTTTGAACATCCCACAGTCTGTGTTCACAAGGCTCAATGAGGGAATTTACAGCATCCCTGAGGAGACCAAACTCAGTGTTTCTGCCCTCTTAAATCATTATTTATTCGAAAATTGCACAATTATTTCGAGGTAATAACTCTATTGAAATTCTTGCAAAGTATTTATCACTTCAGAAAAGACTAGCTTTTGTCATGCATTTAGATAAAGACTAAATGACCCTGCACATGCTAAACAATTATTTTTCATAATTATAGTTTGATAGCCAGTGGGCTTTCAAAAAGAAAGAAGGTGACAAAACTTTCGCAATAACATAGGCGCTGCTAACCAATTTAAAATGCGTTTTTAACGTGGGTTTATATTTCTCGATATCACGCGGTCAAATGCTAAACACAGTCAAAGTACTTGGAGATGCTAAACACAGTCGAGTTTTTTAGATATGTAAGTAGAACTCAATGATTGTTTTGATCTGCTCGAAATTATGGAAGCTAATATAAAGTGTATTTGATGGGAATCCACGATCTAATCTCAGCAGTAACTTTATTTTTTATATGTGGTTGGGGGGCAAGGGGGTTATAGCCCCTATAGGTACTAGTGTGTCGAGAAATCTCGAAAATTGTGCTACGTTGTCGGCATGGGTAGGAACATTTGGTTATTAGCCTCCAAAAAGTGATCTTTGCTGGGTCCTTCCCATCCTGCCCACCAGAACTTTTGGTCATTCGAGAAAAAGTAGCTCGACGTCTGATGACAGAAGTTTTGCCTTGTGGCTTTTCCTAAATTCCAGCAGACATTGTTTTGTTTAAGAGACATTCTCGAATTTAGCTTCCTCGTACAATTCATTTCCTGTTTCATTTTTCAGGTGGCCGGGGATGTCAATTTTCATCCAGAATGTTTTATGTGCACCACCTGTAAAAGATTTATTGAAGACGGCGATGAGTACACTTTGGAAGAAAGAAACTGCTTGTACTGGTAGGTTGATTTTACGTTTATGATTGTGCGGGTAGCTTATATTAATTTAGGCATTGAAATAGTCTTGAATTACGGAAATATTTTGATTCATGTACGTTCAAGGGCTTGGTTAGCAAAAATTGTGTTTTAATTAGCAGCCTCAAAAACTATTCCATGGACAGGGCCGCATTAAGAATTTCGGGGGCCTGGGCGCAGAATATAATGGGGGCCCCATGTCACAGATCACACATTCCTAAAGAATTTTTTGGCAAAAAAATGCAACAAGCGAGTTAATTGTGATAAAATGCCAACACATACGTGAGATTAAATTAGGGGTAAGATGTAGCTAAATGGGGTAAAATGAGACATAACTGACACTTACAATAACTGTGGGTTCTCTCCATACCTGGCGACCAGAAAAGATTCCAAGGGGTTTACTGTGAGGTTCGATGCCTTTTAAGTTTAAAGATAAGACTATGTTTATTCCAACGATTTTTTTTGAAAAATTTGATTTGTTTTCTGTGTCTCATTTTGCTCCACTACCTTGCATTGAGTCACTACACAGAATGCCAATTACTCTATCATGTCTCTGCAGCAGCAAGTTACCTCATACCAAGTTACATCGATTTGAAAAATAAAAATACACTTTCTCTAACGGTGAGAAGAATGAAAACTTCGACTGAAAACTTGTTACCAATCAGTTTGAGCAAATGAGCGGCACATCAATCACAGCGTGCACATTTGCTTATTTCTTTAATTTTCGTTTTCAACCTAGAATATTTCCCGGACATATCGGCAGCATTGTCATATGATTGTCCGGAAGTCAGGGGATAGTTTCTACAGATAGACACGAAGCAAAAAAAGCTTGTTCAAAAATTAGATTTTGACTGTGTTATAGATCCTTTCCAAGAAAAATTTGACAATTCCAAGAAATTTTGGGCCCCCTTAACGCTATGGGCGCTGGGCAAAGTGCGCAGTGTTCCCTGTGGTTAATGGAATGTTTCGACGTAGAAACGATTAGGGGTTCCTCAAGCGGTGGAGAGGCAAGCTATAAAATGGTTCTTGATTTCCCCTTCCTCTATTTGCGACAATGATTAAAGTAGTTTTGTTTGCTATTGACAATATTCAGTAGTCCAACCACGCGGAAACTTCTAGAACAGTGTCAATCAACAATTATTCCTGTGGCAAAAATCTAACAAAACATTGCAATAAATCTATATAACTGATATTTGCAATACTTTCAAACATCGCGAGGTCCCAACGATTACCTTCCCTGTTTTATATCTCCCTGTATACGAATGAAGGTCTAGCTACATATTTATCTTTAATTATCCTCAATCTTTAAAAGTAAATATTTGATTTTTGCAAACTTTTCTTGTTGGTTGGTGATCACCACTGCTTTATTTCTTTCCAGTGGCAATTGTTACGGTTCAAAGCGGGAAAAAAGATTGGAAGAGATAAAGGGTATGATTTGGAAAAACCAGCATACTATACGCCATATGCAGTTGAAGCCAGAGCAAATCGACGAGCAAGGAATCCCACTTCACATTGATAGAGCTAAAGCTACGGAGCCAAAACTAAGAGAGGAAGTGCTGAGACGAGCTGGAAATTATCCTGAAAAGCAAGATAAAAGTGATACTGAAAGCTCTATCTCAGTCAAAGGGTATTTTTTAGCCATCAATTTCTCTCTCAATGTTAACAAATCAAACAAAAGGTTGACGAGTAATTTCAAGAGAAACGTCTGTGTCGGTGTCATGTTTGATAACGAAAATGAAGTACTTAAATGCGTTAATCAATATATCGCTGGAATCCTATCTTGTGGTGAACGTTCCAACGACCTAGCTCAAAGCTTTCTGAATTCATGCATAACTCTTTTAAAAAAAGCCTCGTTTTAGCCCTTAACACTAACGGAAAATTTTGATCAGCTATGAAACAGACTAGATCAAACTTAGAATATTCCTACTAAACGTTACAATATTATTAAGGATAGTATCACAAAGCCAACAATAGAATATATAAATACTTTCTTAAAAATGGATGACTGCCTTTTTCATGCTAGTACCTGTAAGGCCTCTATTCGGTGACGCGCCATGCCAATGCAGTCTCTTTGCCATGTCCAGGCAGAGGAGAAATGCCCGTTTTACCTGGGCTTTGTTATTTGTTATAGTTGAATTTATATGGTATTGTACGCTATGTCGACCTTAGATCGCTTTTCTAGAAGCTCACGCCTCCAAGTGAATAATCAACTCTTGTTGGTATATGAGTTCCAGGGCCGCACAGAATATTTGTGTGTGGAGAAGCTATTTTTAGAAAACTGCAGTTGGCCACAAGATTTCACCCTGTCCCTAGGATCATGCTTTTAAACTATGACATATAATTTTCCCTCCTGCAAGCTTTTATGGAAGCAGAGCCTGATTTCTTTTTTATACAATGCTTGTTTTGTTTCGTTACTTATCTTTAGCTAAAAAGAATGCATTTTCTTTACAATATTTGTCTGTTCTAGTGCCTGCGAATATGGACAGCAACTGCCATTAAAAGCTGGCGACAAAGTCATTGAAGTGAATGGCGTCTTCGTTACAGATGAAACAATACAAGAGGTATTCATCCCCTCTTCTCAGCATTTTCTGTCATTATGCAAATTTTTCGATCAAATGAGCGACTTATTTATTTATCAACGAGTTCGTCATTTTCCAGGCTGGAAAATTGGTTTTATACCTGAGCTCTGAGAGGTGCTGAACAAAACCGTTTAACCATTTGGTATAGGTTTTCAATTTCTCATTGTCGAGAGTCTAGATTAGGGATCTAACTGGGTAGCAGGGATAGGCCATAGCAGTAAACAAATCAAATCATTCGCCATATCTTAAGAGCAGTAAAAGTAAGAAGTCTTTTTCGTGAGATCGAAGGTAAATTTCCTGCCATTTTTGTATACAGTTTCTGCAAACTATTTTTGCAATATTTTTTCCGGCGCCCATTTCCAGTTAAAGTTTTTTGATTGCCAAGACCGTCAGAAATTGGCTAATAAAATCTTGCAACTCAACGCTTTTTCCTTAGGTCAGTAAACTTCTTCGCTCCAAACCGACCGAAACTCTGCATGTCACCATAGAAAGAAATTTAGAAAAGAGGCAGGAAACATCCAAAGTGGTTAACAAATCGCATTGCAACAATAACCAGACTGTGCCAGAAGAGAAATTGGCCTCAGGAACTGTTGATGCATACGACAAGCGGAAAGAGCGCAGTTTGTCCTTTTTCAATTTTAGCGTATTTAAGCGCACAACCAGCGATTGTTCGGAAGCTAAAGAAAAGGCGATAAGAGCCAGACAGAAGAAGAAGGCCCATAAAACGGAAACGGGGACACGGTCTAAGTTGTTCAGCACTGGGAAAATACATCAGTTAAGGAGAAGCCGTTCGCTTACTGAAGTAAATGGGTGCGTTTCACAGCTCTTGTATTCTATTTCTAGAACTTTTACTGTTATTGCCCTCTGTAAAGATAGTGCTATGGTTCTCTCCAATCAGTGATTCTGTGCAACGTATTTCTTCAGGACACTTTTTGCATTTCAAACCAAATCACGATGTGCCGACAATCTTAGAACAATTAAAGTGCAGATGATTATAAAGATGGTTGCCGACATATTTCATGAGTTCCCCTTTACAGTATCTTTAAATCTTAAAATGTTTTGAAAATGAATGAAAAGAATGTTTTGATCCGTCAATCAAATCGTATATACCTTCTTTTAAAAAGATCGACGACGACGTAAAAGTCAAGCATCTTGCACCGCTTTGACTGAATATCATGGAAATATTTTGTTGACAGTGAAAATGGCTGCGCATTTAACAGTTATCATAAGCCCTGGGGCAAGACATTGGAAAGATTTTGCGACCTCGCCCTTTAGTTTAGCTGAAAAGACATTTTTTAAATGTTTTACTCTTCTAGAGCATAATTCTTTTATGCTTGAATAATCCCATTCTTAAAAGTTGATTTCATTACTTCAAAAGGCCCCATAGAGCCTTGAAGCTCTAGGGAAATTTCCCCCTTTGCCCCTTGCGCCCCTCTTTGCGGCCCTGGCTATTTGATGCCTCTCAGATTCCTAATAAACCACGGAGCTGGGCGACAGTTTTTGATTGAACCTTTTGCTCAAAATGACATTTGATAAAAACAAGAGCCTCCAAATTTGTTTTTTTAATTGAATCAAGTTGGTCAAGTTGACGCTGAATTTTTCAAACTTTGTTTGCAAATGGTGCCTGGACACTCACCTTAAGCACAATATTTAGCAGCCGCACTGCTTACACCCTTATCATTTAAGACCAAGTTCTCATAGTTCTCATAGTTTTAATGGTTTTACTGAAAGTCAAAAAGCCAGCCTGAACTTCAATTCAATGGTTCTTATAAAAAAGTAAATTCCTCACTCGGCAGTTTCAAAGTGCCGACAGTTCTTTTTCTTTACTTTTATTGGGCTGCTGACGGGGTGGCATTGGGAACTTTTAGGGGGCCAGCTCCCCCCCATTACGCTCCATAGCGCCAACCAGTCACTAAGAATGCAAACTTATAGAAAAAAGAGGTATACTATTGTTGACAAACAAAGCTAGGTTTTTTTGTTCAACTTCGCTATTCAATTTCTCGACCTTTTCTCGTCTTTAATTTGACGTGTAGTATAAGTAAAGGTAGCTGAATGATACCAAAGTGCTTGCGAACCCATCAGTATTTAGCACTGTACTCTTCCCAGGCTAGTTGGCCCGTAACATCGAGCAGCTTGTAATGAATCGTGTTAAGAAAACTCAAGATGACTGGTACACCAGAATATTTTTTATTTATTGTTTTCCATGTCGTATTTATTGTTTTAAGCGTTTACTTTTGTTTTTAGTGAACAAGAATCATGCATAAAAGATATGGTCAAGTCCTTCAGCACCTTGCATCGGGCCCAGTCTTTCAAAGTGGAAGAACAGCCGGTCAGTAAAATATTCAGGCCATCTGAACTTATCTATGGAGAATTGATTGGACGAGGATTCTTTGGTGATGCTGTCAAGGTGGGTTTAGTTGCTATGTTCTGTGGTTTTTCCCCGAAGTTCCTGGAATTTTTTAATTGTGCATTGCTGACCACGTCACCGTCAATGTGATTTTCGAAATGTTCATTATCTGAAAAACCTCGCATTTGAACTCTGCCTAGCATTTCCATTTTGAAAGTTGTTGGAAGTTTTGCCAAAACTTTGTTGCTAAGTTGGGTTATCTCTACAAAAATTTAAATCTGACAATGAATGTAATGGAGCTGTGGATATGAAAACTGAGTTCTTTTCGCCTTGAAAAATCTTTTTATACACAGGCTTGATATACCTTTAATGAGATGGTCTGTGAAACATATGGAACCATTGCTAATTCCTAAGCAAATCCTAGGCAAAAGGTAACTGATTTTGGTAACTGACTTGAATACAAACATATTTTTTCTTACCAGCGCTGCCAACTTTTTACCTCATAATCAATTTTTTTCAAAATTAAGTTTGCCTCTTTATCAGTTTGGCTAAAAATTACTCATAGCAAGTTCATTTTCGCTTAAATTTTTACAATCTCTTTGGCTAAAGTAGTAGTTTTATGACATACAGCAAGTAAGGTTATCGAAACTGTGTAAATATATTATTTGATTTGAAATTACGAATGTTATGCCGAACATCACGACTTTTTCGAATACACAATATCCAATGTTTCTCCAAGTTAAAATGAAAGTTACTAAAGCACAGTTCTCTTTAAAATGAGTTTTTAAAGAGAACTGTGCTTTAGTAACTTTCACTTTCTCGAATATTTCTATCAATTCCCAACTGCCTATTTTGTGCTGTTCTTGTTGCATCACCTTTGGAAGGCCTTTTTGATCGTCTGTTTAAGTCGTCAAGCAAGGTCCTTTTTAAATTTTTCTTGATATTTTCCCCGGTATATTTCTCTGAATAATCCATAATACACACTGATTCATTATACTTTGTCCCCTTTCTTTGCGAGCTCTTTGCACAACGTTCCAAAATAATGCTTTGTTTCCTTCTAGGTAACGAGCAGTAGAACTGGTGAAGTAATGGTAATGAAGCAATTAAAGCAAGTTGACAAAGATGCCGAAGAAACATTTCTAAATGAAGTAGGGATTTTATAAGAGCAATCTTCGAAATCTAGTTGAAACAGTCTTAAATGATTGTGATTTTGTTGTTTTAATGATATATCTTCCCTTTTCTAAGAAGTAGAACTGTGACATAAACCATGAAATTGGATAAGAAGATGATTAATAATCAGTTTCTTTTCAAAATGTAGTGGAAATTGTTCGAGCATTCCATTTTTGTTTTTATAAATATTCAATCAGCCTGTGCTCTAACTATGCTAATAGGTGGCAGGGTTAAATCGACAAAGAAGGAAAATATTTCGATTCAACAAAAGTTTAGATTAAACTACGTTATTTTGTGACAAAAAACTTGAACTTCGCTTTCTAGGAAGAATTATTTGCAAGGTTTAAGAATATATAAGAGAAAACAACTTCCCGGAATTCTTCCTCCCCACACCGGTATCTTCCTTACAAATCATAATTTGTGCTGTAACTGGTCCATTCTGCAGTTCATTTAACATTTCCCAGCAGAAGGTTCTGTTACTACTTCTTCATTTTCTTTTTCTTCTTCTTCCTCTTCTTATCTTTTTTTCCTCATCTTCTTAATTCCTTTTTTCTTGTTCTTCATCATCATCTTCCTCTTTCTCTTTTTCATGTTATCCGTTTTATCTTCTTGTAAATGGTTGAAATTGTGTATTGGTGTAATATTCCATCGTTTGGTTACCTCTGGGTCACCTAGATATGCAATGAAAGCAGGGTTAATGCCTGTATCTTACTAATTTTATCAGCTCACATTATCTCTCCTGTTCGTCATAACTAAATGGTTTGCTTTCTTCTGCAGGTACAACTTCTTAAAAGCCTTAAGCATCCAAATGTCTTGCATTTTATTGGGATAATGTATAAAGATAGATCATTACACATAATAACAGGTAAATTTTAGAATTTTTTCTTTACAGATTTATTCCTATCTTTTTCTTCACAAGGCAAATGCAGTAGAGAATATAATGTATGCGCGGATACAACGTTGCAAATAATTTATGCGACATTAGTATCCCGAAACACATGTTTAAAATGATGTTAATTGATGTTTAAAATTATGATTTATATGTCATATTAAAAAATATGTTTAAGAAATGCGTCTATTTTCTTTCATTTTCACGCAAATGTTTGAAGTGGATCTCCTTTGTTAACACCCTGCATGCAGATTTTGTAAGGCATTGCCTGTTCTGTTATCTTTTTCTAGAATTTATATCTGGTGGTACACTGAGGAAGCTTTTGAAAAACAAAGTAAGCGGCCTTTGTTATTCAACAATCAAGCGTGCAATATCGTGTTTAAATTCTGTCAACACAATCTAAAGAATGCTAGGCTGCTTTGATACAAAATTCAGAATTATTCGTTGAACAGGAAGAGTTGCTAATCGTTTAAATTTGGCTAATTAGTATCATATATTTTTGTGTGTGATACAATTAAAGGAAATTGCTAGAAGAACCTTCATTTTGATAAATACCCTTGTAAAAATCTCAATAAAGCTTCTCAACTGTAATAAGCATTCACTTTCTACTTGTAGTATCGAGAAATTTCATGGAAGCAGAGGATTCAGTTTGCCAAGGATATTGCATCCGGAATGGTACAGGATATTTCATTCATTTCCACACTTGCCTTTTCTTTTTAGTAACTAAGTCTCATCATATTTTCTTGTGCTTAGTTTATACCGTTTTGGTTTGAGACTGCAACTAGGGGGTGTACCGGATATCCGGTAGGCAAGATAATCCGGTGCCGAATCCCTCATTTTTTTTATAGTCTGGTTCCGGCCGGATTTCGGAAACAAATCCGGCCAGCTGCCGGATTTTCCAGAATTTCAATTGGAACAAAGAAAACCTCTCGAGAAACCAGTTATAAAAGAGTAAATACAACGAGCAACAAGAATTAAAAGCAATAGAGCAAACTTGAACATAATTCTAAAAGTTAAAACCGTCCCAAACAGCAGCTTTTTAAAAATTGAAGTCGTCCAAGATTATGATGCAAGAAAAGAAACTTTTCGCCCTTCCTTAGAAGATGTCTTGATCGCGAAAAAATTGTCTTCGAAGATTTTCAAGCCTCCGAAAAAGGCCGCTCTGAATCAACATCAGATGCTGTTGTAGACAAAATTGCTAGGCTAGCTTGACAATGCGGGGGAAGGTTATTTTGTACTGCTTCCACCATAGGAAAGAACTTTCTTTGCGTGCTATGCATGTCATGTTGACATACCCCTCAAGCTCCGTTTTTAACCTATCCTCACACCATATCCACTTTACCCGATGAAAAGCCAATTTGCCATGTAAATCATACAGAGTTTAACCAATGTTAATTTAACCCGTCTTTAACCGCCGTGTAGATTAGACTTTTGAGGGTCTTGTTCATCAATAGATTGTATCGAAACGGATAGTATAAAGTGGATAGTGTCTTTTCAGAAAACACCTCGAAAATAAGCCGACTAAAAAGTAGGCCAAAAGTTTTATTTCAAGCAAACTGTTCACTGCGGTATCCCCCAGGGATCGTGCTTGGGGCCGCTCCTGTTTATCCTGTATGTCAATGATTTTGAGCAGTGCCTCAAAAAATGCACCTCAAACATGTATGCGGACGATACCAGTGTCACCTGTTCTGCCGAAGATACCTACGATCTCTGTAATGATCTAAATGCTGAGATCGACAATATTGCAGAATGGCTACGTCAGAATAAGCTTAGTTTAAAAACTGATAAAATAGAATGTACAAACCAACCGTTTCCTTGGTCCACTAGAAATAAATGTAAATCGAGAGCCAATCAAACGAGCTCAAAAGGTAAAGTGCCTTGGAATTACGGTCGACCAAACCTGACATGAAATGAGCAATATAAAAACCTTAAAGGTAAAATAAAAAATGCTCCCTCTTCCCTGTGGAAGCTAAAGAACATATTCCCGCAATCGAAACTTGATCTGGTCTATAAGGCACTGCTTGAGAGTCATTTGATGAACTATAGAGCAAATTGTCAAACACAAAGCTCGATCATCTTCAGCGATTACAAAACAGAGGGCATACGCTAATAGAAGGCTCGAGATTAAAGGACGGGTGGAGCTGCGATTGGCTTTCGGTCTCAAATTTGACAGGGCAGTTATGATCTACAAAATAATAAATGGTCTCTGCCCCGACAATTTGAAAGGAATACTTGTCACTAGATCCCAAATATCTAACTATTCAACAAGAAATTGCCTTCACATAGACATCCCAAGGGAAAACCTAGAATTCTCCAAAAGGAGTTTTTCTATTGTGGTGCATAGACGTGGAACGAAATCCCATTACAAATAAGAATAAGCTCCACGATTACCACGTTCAAAAAGAATTCTCGCAAAATTAGCATCCTTTCCCGAAGCACGATCCCTAGGAAGACCAGCATTATATGCAAATTAATCTTTTTTTAACTTAGTAGCTGATAGAGTTTCTGTGTATAAATATGACAAATAATATAAAATAATAATAAGCCGTGGCTTCGGAACAGGAACAGGAAGACTGGGTGGTATATTCATAAAACTGCTCTCTTCGTTCTTCTATAAAACTTTTTTTACAGAAAAATCTTGTAATGGCCGGATATTCCGGCCGGATTCTGCGAAGAGATCCGGTAAATCCGGTTCCGGCCGGATTCTGGAAATCTTTATCCGGTACACCCCTAACTGCAATGATGGAAAAGCTTAACGAAAAGATTAAATTTGGTTTGACCATTGCGATAATAAGAAATAATGATATCCCTGTAAGAGATCCGTATTGTATCATTTTGTATATTATACAATATTGATGCCATTTCAAAAGGGCTTTCTTTAGACTGTAAACATCCATTCATACGAAAGCCTGTATTCCGAAAGATAACGAAAACTCATGAAGATGCTTTAATCTCTAAGGGCTTATGATCAAATGATTGTCCAGTTTTTTACACATACGTTTCCAAAGCAGTTCTCAGTTGTGTCCCAAAATTGAAAAGTTCGTTTGTGTTATATTCCTCTCTAGGATAAAAACGTAGCAACTGGTATTGTTTTCCTATAAAGATTTATTTTGCATATTTATTCCTAGGCCTATTTACATGAAATGAACGTCATTCATCGTGACCTGACTTCGAAAAACTGCCTTATTAAAAGCGATTCTGTGAGTAACATTAACATGTTCAAATTTAGAATTCCCATTTCTTAAATTGGTATTTAGTGAGATTAGGTCATATTAATTGCACGCTGTTTAACTAATTTTTTGTAGTAAGGCAACCATTTTAGGCCAAACAGTTCACCTTTTGTTTTGGACCAATTTAAGTATTCAAAATTGTAGTAATTTAAAATGTGAAGACAAATTTGGAATTCTAAAGACCCTTTTGGATAACTAAAAAAAGAAAAATAAATTTGGAATTTTTATACAATGTTATGTTATGGAATAATTTCTTGATATGAACATCTTCTGCAAAACAACTGTAATTAGATAATGGGCTTTTCCTGATTGAAGAAACCGGCTGAAGTATGTTTAAACAAACGTATGATATTTCACGTTTTCTTTGAATTAATTTGATGCTGTCGCTAATTGGGCTGACCCACATAACAAGTTCTTGTCTGAGAAGGGGCACTTATTGCAGACGGGATGTCATTGCAAAGATCACAGCAGGGAGAGACGGGATGTTCTCTTCATCTTTAACTAGGGTTGTGTGTGTCATTGTGTACGTCTCCTTTTGTATCCTTTATTAGGTATCAAGATACCTTAATAGCATTTTCTATATCTGGTATTGATGGCATTCACTATGTTTTCACTGCAGCACGGTAAATCTGTGATTGTTGCTGATTTTGGTTTAGCCAAATCTCTTCCTCAAGACAGCTCCTGCAGATCCCCCAGGCTGTCTCCTAGTCCAAATTTTCTTTACGGCTCCGGACTTAGCCCTTCACCAACTTCGCCGTCGTCTTCACCCACACCAATAAGTCCAACTCGACCAGCCATTCCAAAAAAGCGGTAAGGACCCAAAACTTCTAAACTAAACTGGGTACCAAAAGCTTCAATACAAATTTTTGTTCATTTTACTAAAGCATTACAAGGGAAGACGAGTTGTTCTCGTAATTTGTACTTATTGAAGCAGATGAAAGGAACTTAAAAATGCAAGGGTTTGATTGGAACATTTTTTAAAATGAAACGTTAGAAGATAATTTGGCAAGTTTAGTCTTATTTGCAGGACTGACTGCTCATATGCTAGATTTTTCATTTCATAAATCTTTGAAGTCATTTTGATAGTCCTTTAGATCTGCTGATTTGATCAAACATCGCTTCAATGGAGATTAACTTCTGATATAATTGTCTTTTAGATTGACTGTTGTTGGCTCTCCGTTCTGGATGGCGCCAGAGATGATGAAAGGTGGTTACTTCAATTCATCAATCTTGATTTATACATTATAAGCCCCTGTCTTTCTATAGTTCTACTACCTTTTCCACTGGTATATTTGTTCATTCACTTACGGCTAGCTACTTATTCACTAGGATATTAACTGATGTATTCTTACAATTATTTTTTCCCAACAGGAAAAGGATACGACGAAAAAGTCGACATATTTTCATTCGGCATAGTTGTTTGTGAAGTAAGTCTTATCTTTTTCCCTGCTGTCCATTTTGTACATAAATAGAGTAAAAATTTGAAGTAACATGTTGTTTAATGTTAGATGGAACCTTACGGTCTTGCATAAACTAAATCTTTGCAAGATAAAATCATTTAATTCGCTCTTTCTATATTTTAGACCTTATCTGTTTTGGGAATTGTGAAATTGTCACAGTACTGCTTTGTTTTTAGATTATTGGTAGAGTTAAAGCTGATCCAGATTATTTACCAAGAAAATTTGTGAGTTTATGCCTTTTTTTCATTTTGGGCACAGCTATGAAGGAAAACCGTTAGTTTTTAAAAAAATATATGAATCATTTGTGTCGGCTTCAGCCCGTCGCCCATAAACAATGCAAAACATTGTGAATGATTGTTATGTTTTCCAGGCGCAGGAGGCAAGAGGGCTTTCAGGCTTAAGCTATCTTTGCCCCCTGTTCCTGCATCCACCCTTCCCCCTTCCTAGTACCTGAATTAAATTTGTTGCTAGCCACTGATCTGTGTTGCTAATGAGGAAATAAGAATTAATCGGTTATGTCTACACAAGACAAATTCACTAGTCAAGTTATCCAATGCTCCTCCGAGACGAATAACAACATTTTAAATCAGAAATATGGTCTCATATTGCATGAAGGACCAAGAAAATAACTCAAGTACTTTAGATATTGTTGTCCTGTCTGGAAAAATGCAAGCATGACTGCCATTGAAAAATTGCTGAGAGTTCAAAACAGAGCTGCAGAAAGGTGTTGCAAAGGTCCCCTTGGCGCTACCACTTTACCAGTTATTCGGATGCTTAACTGGCCCACTGTCAAGTAGCTTATTGATTCTAAAGGGCAGAAAATGGTCTTCAGATCCCTTAATTGGGACGCACCTTCTTTTTATGAAAGACATGCTGAAGAGAGTCAACAACTCTACTGTTCGTTCACTTAGAAACGATAAAGTCAATCTCAGGTTACCATTTGTTAACATTGTTAGGGGGGGGGGTGCAGTAATGCTTTGCGTAGAGAGGCGCCAAACTTTGGAACAGTCTTCGTACTGAAGGTAGAAGTTCTTCCACCATAAGATCTGTTAAAATAAGGTGCAAACATTGAAATCAAGCATTTTTTTCGTTGTTTTGTCTATCATAATTTATTAGTTATTGCATGTTTTTAGCATGCCACCTTGTAAATCAGTTATTCTTTATTAGAGGCTACCATTGGTAAAAAAGATCAAATGAAATGAAACGATTGAGTAGATTTATTGTTCGCTAAAACTCATTCTATCACATTTGCTCCAAGATAAGCTAATTGTTTTAGTATTTTCCTGTCAGAGATTACCCATTTTATATCTTGTATAGACTTTTGTTATGTATTTAGAGGATATCTTATTGAACAGATATCTTTAATGCATCAATCTCTTCACAAGGATTTCGGATTAGACGAAGAGGAATTCAGGAAAATGTTTTGTGCTGAGTGTCCTGAGCCATTCTATAGGCTAGCATTTCAAGCATGCACCACAGACCCCGAGAAAAGGTAACTTTATCAACCTGAGTGTTCTTTAGCAACGTCATACTTTATCTGCTTGATGGCACTCTTACACTAAGTTTATTATTTCATCTTTGCCTAATTCTATCCAACTCTTGGCTAGCATTGTTGTCAATAGAGTGGATATTTTTCTAAAGCTTGGTGCCTCACACATTACCCTGACATTTAAAATATTGTCCTTTAGGCTTTCGGACACACTTTTGCGGATTTTGATTTTTTGAATTTTTGAAGCTGTTCAAGAAATTGCAACAGAGAAACAGAGAGTGAATAATTTAAAAAAAAGGTTTTTTAACATTTGTACTTGCCAAATGAACTAATATTGTGACATTGAACAACATATTCCTTTTTAGGCCACCATTTGTAATGCTTGAGAAATGGCTAGAAGCAATTTTTGTCAACTTGGAATTCAAAATACCATTGCCACATGAAATTGACTACCTTTCGATGCCAAAGCCTTTGATGTACAAAATTGAAGAGATGGCAACTTAGTAAAAGAGCAAATGTTCTCAACAGTTAAATATGATGAACGTTCATGCTTGTTGGCGGCGCTTGGTTGTTACTCAATCTGAAGTCGCAGAAATATGAGTTATATAGTTGCAGAAAGAAGCTTTTAACAGATCCTTACAACCCTTTGTTCCGATCTGCAGTTCTCCATCTAATTTTCCAAAGTGCTTAGCACACGCGATAGTAAGATACCCTTTTTGCTAGTAGATTTTCAATTATATGTTTTAAGAGCAACTAAAATGAATTTTGACGTAATTTTTTGAGTGGGTGTAAATTTTTTTTCACTATGAAATTTTGAGATTTAGAGGATATTTTTAACAATGGACGGTATGAAGTTTTGATCGGAGTCATTTTCATTTTGAAATGAATAGTCAGCGTTTTTATTGAAACTTTCTGCATTTCACTACCTTAATTCGTTTATTGCACACTGTTTGAATATTTTCATAGAAGATTCTGTTGCAAACTGAATGTATGACGTCGACAGTAAAAAAGCTGGAAGACGGCCCCCTACAAAGTTTCAAAAAATCAGACCACAAACTGTTTCTCTCCTTAGCTATAATACAGGTTAAAATTTACCGTTCCTTTTGAAAACTTCTTCTTGAGAACTAGAACTTGAGAATCTGCTACTTTTTGCAAGAATATGAACCTGTCTATGCATCTGCAAGAATATAATCATGTCCAAGCGTCTGTAATGCGAAAATCTCATCGCGAGTGCTATTCCTTTCTACGTTCCCTCGTGGAATTCTCAGTGTTTGATCACAACTGATAAAAGTGGCTTGACACAAGGGGAAGAAGGGGCTCGGCTTCCTAAATGGTTGAGCAGTATGGTCAAGTCATTCGAAACACAGTGTCTAAACCTAGGGGGCAAGAATTGAAAGACCCTCTGCCCTCAAAACTGCGGTATTGTGCCCATCTCTATTCTGATAGGAAGTTAAAATTTTCAAGAAAAAGACAATGTCAAGAATGAGCTGAAAAATATTTCATCCTATTCTCGTCTTTTTGCTATTAAGGTGCAGAATTTTTAATATACTTGGCGGATATCCACTGAAATACCAATCTTCAACAATGGAGAGTATCAAAAATTTAACCCTAGCAAATGTTCTTGGATCTTTAGCTTCCTAGCTTCCTGCTATTGACATGACTTACAAGTGAAATTTGGAATGAGTCTCCTGCAAAATTATGATCGAAATACACCAATTCGACTTGCGGCCTCGTTTTGGAAATTTATCCAAACTTTGTTACAGTAAATCCTCGAATAAGCCCCCGCGCTCGAATAAGTCCCCACCTAAAAATCATTTTTGCAAATAGGCCCCCCTTGGTAAACGACGTTTTCAAGCTCAGATTGTGTTTTACAAAAGTGCTTCTTTGATTGTTTCTTTGGTTGGAGCAAACTGGTTGGGGGTTGGAGCAGTTCAAAGGAACAAATTTATTCTTTGATTGGAAACCGTTCTGCTGCAAGCACCAGCCATTTCTTTAAGGTTACAAAGATAAATTTTCAGACCGAAAAATGTCACAAAAAGCTCACTCTTAACATAGCATAAACCAGAAAACCTAATCAGTCACAAGAAATTTTTAATTTTTCTCAACTGACCCAGGAACAAATATGGAGCAAACAACTGATCCTCTTAAAGAAAAATTTTCATCAATTGTTTATCTTTAAAATCGTTTTCGAGATTCTTAAGTTTGAGGGTGATAATTACTGTGATTTTTTCATATTTGTTATCTTAGTTCTCAGATACTTCAAGCACCGCGGAGCGTTGAGAAAAGTAGGGGGTCTAAAAATGTGGTGGGGGGGGGGCTAAAACGTATGGAGAGGCTTTACTGGTAGTTTAATACATAATATTTGGCATTTTTTGCAAAATGTGGTGCCTGTACTTCCAGGCAATTTTTTATTCAACAATTTTTTGGGTCACGAATTTTTTCAGAGTGGTTGCCGTTTAAACCTCGATGGAGGAGGCTGTAGTACGAAATCAGAAGGGCGGGAGCACCCGTTTTGCAAAGGATGCTGGGAGCTATTGCCGTTGGTTGACTGCTGCTCCTTTTGATACTTGGCTAGCCTATGTTCAACTGTAGTGTGTTGAAAATTGAGCTTTTAGAATTGTTCACAATTACGGCAGATCAAAATAGCGACACTGGGGATTTAGAAAGGTGAGCGTTTGCAAAAATTTTATAGTTTCATAGCTGTTTACAGGAAATCCTTCTACCTTTTCACAAATATCAGGACTGTGCCGATGGCTTGCTTCTGATTGCATGTCATATTAGTGGGAGAGGGTGACAGAAAATTCAGATTCTGTAACCTTACGCTTGAAAATACAAGTTTAGCAGATAATCGATATTTAGCAGCTTATTTCAACCATGATTAGTTTTCGTCGGAAGTTATCGCGCTTCGTTTGCCTACTTGGGCCTTGGTCTAAAGAACGTTTAATGGAGTTATTAACGTTGTAAAATGGGCCTAAATTGTTGTCCTTTTCTTTCACAATGGATCTTCAGACAGAATAATGGAGGAGTTTGAGTTACTTAAAATGAAATTCTTGGTGGTCTAAATATCTTCTCAAACAAAATTTAAGCTATATGAGTTTAGACACCCACCGAGAAATATGACATTGGATCTACCCAAACCAGGCCTTTAGGTAAGGCTGTTCTGCTGAATAATACATCACATGAACACGCCTTAACAAAATGTCTAGTATTAAATTGAAAACATTTGGCATGTATAGCCCTTCCATCCCGGTTCTATGTATTACGTTTGTTGGTATTTGTTATTAGTGATTTATTTACCTCAAGTCTTCCACTTTTCATTCGATCGGAAAATTTATCGTCCGTGGCACTACCGTTGGGTAAAGGGTACCGTTAGATACACCATAATGTGTCTTTACAGTTTGTTAAAATTTACGAGTAGGATCTTAACTATAGTCATACCCAACATCATTCTAGAAAATTGCTACAAACTTAAAGTGGGGATTCGTCTAGGTTTATCATGAAGTGCTCTAAACTTAATGTCAAGTTTATTTGTGGAAACTGTTAATACCAAGCAAATTTCAAGTAGTATTTCATGTACACTTATATCTAATAAACTCTAAATCTGTTATCTTCAGGAACCAAAGGCTCTTAATTGGTGTTTCTGGGTAAATTTTAGAAGAAGTTATTTTCTCCAAAAAATACCTTCTTTAAAGTCCTTATTGAATGTCACCTCTCAAAGTCAGTTAGGTTTATTTCATATTAAGATTTCACTTATTACTTGTGTATGTTGAATTAGAAGAACCACAGCATACTGCATCAAAAAAGCAAAGCACTATACCAAAATTGTATATATAAGGTACAATGTTTCTTTGCTACAAAATATTGCAATATATTTGAAGTTCCATGCATGTTGTTCCTTATGCTCAAAATGTGCTATTTTTAATTATGGTTATTTTATAATCCTATTTTATTACTGCTTGATTAGTTGGTAAGGCTTGTTTTAATATAATGCTCTATTTTTTACACAGCAACATTAAGAGAGAGTGTCATATGCTCTTTCTGAAAATCCTCACTCTTACTTAAGGCATGCTGTTGTAGAGTTTTACCTATATTCTGTAACATTGAAATTTGATCATCTAAGCATCTGGTGGTTTTGCAAGATGGCTTTTTCTCAACAATTAGAAGCATCAAGACACACAATGCCCAACCTTTTTGTGTAGTCTTTTATTATATATATAAAACTTATAAAACTAGTTTCCCTGTGTACTCCAAAAGTTTAAAAAGGTAGAAAACAACCTTATTTTTCTTAATTGATATGTAATCTTTATGAAAATGAATAAATCATATTTGAAACTTGCTTGTATTCACAAATCCTTTCTGTGGTTACCAAGCCATGCAAGTCTTTTGTCCTCAGTTTTATTTGATAACTCTTGTGTATACAGTTTCTAAACAGGTTTTTCTTAATTCAAACAAAGTTTAGGTTTTATGTAAGCCAACTCAATAAGGTTGGTTTTCCATTCAACTTCTCATTGCATCTTAGTTCAACATTCTTTTGTTTTTAGGAATTTCCTATGACCATATTGGTAGCTAGGAAACAATAATGTTCAAAGGCTTGGTTCATCTTATGAATCTGGTTGTGCTGCAACAGTATTATGTGTATATTTGAAGATTTGATGGTTTAGAAAAGAAAACAAAACCAACATGGTACTCACACCAAAGCAAAAAGATGAATTGTAAGTTCACTTTTTCAAATCCTACTTTGCCAAATGCTGCAAACAAATACTGTTTTTTTTCATTTGTCAGTGAATAGATTGATCTCATTTACCTTTTTGTTGTGGAGATTGTTAAGCTAGACATGAAAGTGGAAAACAAGGAATAAAGATGTGATAATGTAGGCCATTTTATAATACAACACAAACAAAGAGAAGTACATGAGGTAAAGTGTCAATACCATAGGGTTACAAAGTTATATGACCCAGTCTTTCTAACAACAACAAATCTTGTCGGCATAATTGTAGAATAAAGTTTAATACTTAACAGATATTAGCAGTGTTGAATAAAAAGTGTTCTGTTTTCAAAAATAAAAACCGAGCACTTCTTACTATTCACAGATTTTTTGTTTGAAAGATTAGACATTCTAATAGAATGTCAAGAGATGAAGGGTGATTTAGAGGTTGCTCATCTTTTTCCTTTTAAACTTTTTGTCTGCAGTGCACTATTGTTGCTTCGTGGATCTTGAATATGTTTACCGTGAAATGTTATAGCAACAAAGGAGAAAGTACTCTTTCTATATTTGAAATGAATGTAATAAAAATACAGCACAAGTAATGTCAATGTTTGAAAAAATTTTGAAATGGTTTCAAGGAAGTCAGGATATTTTCAACCATTTTGTTGATATTTCCAATATATGTTTGATTTTGTAATGTTGAAAGGTTTCAATAGCTTTGGAGCATAGCTAAAATACCGGGGCAGCTGGGAGCAGAAAAGTAGGTATTAGCCTCTAAAATTAAGACATAGGAAGGCCCCCACTCAAGGTCTTTAAACTATTCAACAGGGGTGGAGCTTATATGTTTTGATTTAAGAAGATGGGAAAAATGACCTTTTTATTATGAAGGTTTAGACTAGCTTTTGGCAATACCATATCTTACAAAATCAGTTGAAAGCACTGGCCCTCGTTGTCTCCCCCCCCCCCCAGACACTGATGATCCTGTGGTGATGTAGCTCGTCCAAGTTTTGTTTTGGGTGAAGGGAAGGATGGGCCTTAATACAAGTGGATTATGGCTGCTGCAAACTACTTAAGCAAAATCTTACTTTGATACAGCAGTTTGCTGCCCAGTGATGGAGCCCCAAGGTATTAGCCCATTAATTCTAATACCATGAGGCTTTTGGCCTGCGAGTGAGACACTATTATGATACAGCGAGCAATTTACTATAGAGATATTGCCTTTAGCTTCAACAAACTGTTTCATGACTGTTGCTCTTTACATTCAGTGTATAAATTTTTTCAATCAAATTATCCATCCAAAGGCAAAGCTACCTAAAGTACAGCTACATTTTGCAAATTCACAAAGTTCATTTCCAGCAATGTTTTTTCTATAAGCTGAGGCTCTGTCCATCCTCTCTTCCGCTGACAGTGACCCTCATAGTATTAGAAATGAAAAACTAATACCTTACTGCTGTTCACCCATTCTTCTATCAAATTTACGTCATGCAGGCCACAACAGACAAAATAAATTTCTTAGCAGTGGTATTAGTTTTCGGAGGCTAATATCATGACCAGGGCTGTTGATTAGCACACAAAATTAGGGCAGGGATTAAACAATCGCACTTTACAAAGATTTCCATGAGGATTAGGCAAGTTTTCATTCAACGAGCAAAAATTAAATATAGCTTGGCTATATAAATAGAGCTGGTCCCATCAATAAAATTGTTGTGAAAAAGTGGCAGCATATTAAAAGCAAAAGAAATTTCTTGTGATCTTAGAGAACCAAAATCCCCTTTCTTTGAAAATTAAATGGTATTAGACTAATATCTTTAATACCACCTCTAGCCGCACCTGCTAATATACATTTTCACAACCAACCAATTAACATTTTATCCATTCTTTTTATGTTTCCAACTATAAAAAGAAATTATAAATCTAGAATTTCAGGTCTTGTTTCTTTGTCCTGCCGTTTGGCAAAACTGTTTAAAAGTAACAACATGAGACCAAAAACAGTATTTGCAAAAATCAGGATGTCAAAATAAACTGTGATTGAGCCATAGTTCAAAATTTTGTGCAAAAAGTCAGATGCAACAGAATAGATGTTACAATCTTTGAAATTTTTTGGCAAACTAGGCCATCTTTTCATTTAGGCATTTTCAAATCTGTCTAGATTAAAACAAAATATCAAAATTTGTGTAAAAGCAAAGAGTTTGTTTTCCCTCTTGGACTCTTCCAGTAGACAAGAGGATAGTGGGTCCTTAGTGGTAAGGAACCAATCAAAGTTTTTTGTCCCTTGTGCTACGTATTTTTGATATCCATTTGAATACAAATTCCTGCTTACCAACATACGGTTCTATATATGTCTTTTTGCAACTGATTACTGATAAAGACTAAAATCAAAACACTTATGAGATAGTGTTTTTGAAAATATTTTTATGTATATGTATTTGGTATCTTTTTGACATGTATTAAAATGCTTTAGCAAAACTAGAAATGACAGAATTGTTTTTCAAAGAAAGGAAAGAAATTGCATTTATTCCAATTTTGTAATTGCTTTAGACAAAAAATTACATTCTAGGAGTAACATAAATTACCTTAAGAACTAAGAGCTTGTTTCAGAATTCATTTATCTCTTTAAAACTTCTTGTCAAAATTGGCTCAGATTGAAGGGTTGTATTAATTGTAAGTTTTTTTGATAGATATATGTATTTGTCTATCTACATAAACATGAAAAAACAGCTGTTGTGTAGACAGAAGGAGTTTGTTTTCACCTTAGGGCTCCACTGGCAACATTTTAAATAAACAAGTGGCACTGATTGGGCAACTTCAACAGTCATGTGCTCTTGTTTCTCATTGGCCTATTTCGATCCACAACTGGGTATATATATGTATTTCTTAGTGTTGTGTTTTGATCTATGTTCTGGCGTTTTATACTCTGAAGAGTGTCAGACAAAAAAGCTTTAGTATAGCTCGAAATGTTTGCTTTTTTCAAAGCAATTTCAAATTTTGTATTGCAAAGAGTTTGTTTAATACAATTTTTAAGGGGTCTATTTAATTTGTCATTGTTGTATAAATATGTTTATGATATCTGTCCCCTCCTCCTAGACTGCAATTTAGAACACTTTCAAGTTTTTTGTTCATAATTGGGTATCAAAAAGGTTGAAAGTGTGAACTATACTTGTGACTTTGAATAGCTGTGAAGTTTTGAATACACTTTGCAGTTTTCAGGCTGGAAAGCATCTAGCTTTTAGACATTTTGACTTTGACATTACCTCTACAATAAGCTATACTTTATGTTGTTAAGCTTAAAGCAATTCTACCTGTGATAAAGAATACCTTGATACCAGATGCTCCAGAACTATTTCTCTGACGCTGTTGTGAAAATTCTGGCTGTAGTGTTATCTAATGGGCAGTAATATTCACAAAAACAAATAATAAAAAATTCAATGACATTGTATTTTTAGCATTTAGCATTCAGAAATTTATGGGGAAATTGGAAATGTTCAAGTTTTTATTTATTTGCTGCAAGCAATAGAGTTTCCAGAAAACAAACCAGAGGTAATATAAAGTTAAGACAGGGGGTCATTTTATTGCTGAAATTGCAAATAAGAAATCAGTGGGTACAAGTTGTGCAAATGATTTTTAAGACCAGGCTCAACCAGGTATAAAAGAGCCTCTTCAACCAAAAGTTTAAATAATGGCACCTCAAGCAAAAAAATTTTCATGTAAGAAGAAAGTAATCACATAAAAGGAGATGATACTTTCCCCGCTAAAAGTAAACTTCAATCAGTGGCTTCCCAACCAAGTTCCATGCATAAGCATCACCAAACAGTACTGTGATGATGTTATTCTGCTGAGTGTAGAGTTTAGTCAAAGTAAATAACCGAATAGCAAAAAATATCAACAATGAAAAGGTCAACAAACCAATTTTTGGATTCCCATTTTTTAGTATTTGTTATGTTGTGAGGTGTGTTTGGCCTAATGGCAAGTGTAATCTGGCTTTGAGTGTATGGTCATTCATATATCAAAATATTGGTGGGGAGCCTTCCTTATATGGCAATTTTGTGTTGCTCTGATAACCTAGGCCTTAAAGTATGTAATCGAAAAAGATTTTATAAAAAATTCAATCAATTACAATGCTCTGAGAAGAAAAACTGAGGCACTGGAAGGAATTTTTGATTTGCTCCTGTATCTTGGGGTATTAAGTAAAACTCACGAGTTCCACTAAGAATTGCAGCTGTTTTGAATGAAAATATGAAGCCTATAGCCTATAGTAGTCCAACAGAGAAAAATATTTTCAAATTGTATTTTTTGTATGTCTGAATATTCTAATTTTTTCAGGAACAAATCAATTGCAGACTACTTGCAAGCATGTGGATTTCACTCAACCTTAGAGGCATTCAAAAATGAGGCAGACATCGTACGTGTCATTTTACATGATTTTTATATCTTCTGCTGCCTTCAGGTATATCTAGCAAAGTTAGGTTTGTCCTATTGCATTAAGGCATCAGAAAGTGCAGACATAAAAAATAAGGTAGCATGAATTAAAGTCTTGGAATATTGTCAATAATGGTCAATAATGGTTAGACATTATCACTTTCCACAAGGCCCATAATGTCTAACTTAGCACTCCAACTTGTACATATCTTCTCTATACTTGTACATATTTTCTAGCCTAACGTTATTCAATATAATAAAAAGACTATACTTACATTTGGTGATATTTACTTATAGGTTTTTGTTTTATTAATTATTTTTTTTTACTGCCAGTGAAAAACCAATATTGTACTTAGGATCTGTGCAATGAATACATTACATTACATTACATTACATTAACGACTAAATGTGATCTTCACATGTTTTTTTCTGAATCTATCATTTCCTGATTAACAGATCCTGTTACAAAACTTTTTGATAAAGTTTTAACAAGTCTCACAAAGGTTTCAAAGCTGGGAGACTCAGATAAAAAGTTAACTTTTCACTTTTTAAAAATTATTTTTTTTCAATGTTCAAATCAAAAGTGTTGCTGCCAGTTTGAAGTTTAGTTTGATTGGTTTTTAACTCTAAAAAGATGCCTAATGGCTTCACAAAGGTGGCTTTGTTTTCAGTCGCCAAGTTGTTTGCAACGGGGTCACCATTACTCATTTGTCCAACCTGTACAATACTTTTGCTCCCTAAAAGTGTATATATATATATATAGATAACAATAAACTATATATACAACAAGATAAAATAGCTTTGTTATGCATATAACTGTGTACTAACTTTATATAAGTATATAGTTTATACAATAGCAAGTAATTTGAGATGCTTGTTAATAATAATCTTCATCATTTCTTGTTTTTGTTTTTTGTTTGCTGTCAAACCTGATTTAACCATATCCCCTAAATGTTTTTTGCAGAAAGGAGAAATAGAAAAAAAATATGCAGGCCTTTTGGAGAAGAAATGGACTTCAGTTATCAGACTTCAGAAAAAGGTTGGGATTGATTATTTTTATCACCTTTTATAAGTACAATGAAAAATGTCTATAACAAAGCTATTGGATTAAAACCTTGGTTTGTTGATAGTTGAATTGTTAAATCTCAAGTTGGAGTAACTTTTGCTTGTCTCAAAATATCCAACTTTCCAATATTCTCCTTTATGCTCCACAAATGTTAACTAAATATAATTATCAGTTGGCTAGGCAAGTGAAGATAAAATTATGTTGGGTAGGGCTATAATTTAGAAACAGATACTTATCCAGCGTTGGACAACAGAAGGCGTAATGTAATCTTTCAATCAGATCTTTCATATGTCTGATGCAGCTTATTCTAGCTCAAGGGAGTGTTACCAACCCAGATTTTTAAGTTACATACTCCCCCTTTCAGGTCATGGAATTAGAGTCGAAACTAAATGAAGCTGAAAAAGAACTGGAAAGTGGAGGTAAGGCAACTTACATGGTCAGTTAGCCAATGACTCGTTATTAAAATGTTCATATAATTTTAAGTCTTCCACTGAAAAAGAAGTACATATAATCAAGTTTTAGTTACTTCCAAACTCTTTTTGTCTCAGAAAATGGGTCTTTGGCCAATGTGTTTATCCAGGTATCTTTGGCAAAGTTATCTAGGTAGGAAGCCAAAATAAAAGGACCTTTATAGGAAAGCCCATTTGTTTAGAAAGTACTAAGAACCAAGTATCTTTGAGGTCTAGCAAATAGAGCAGTTTTCAAGAAATGTCAAAACTCAAATGATGTTATAAAAAGATTGCTGCAAAGGTTTCTTAAAGAAGTGTTCTCACAAGAGACTGCAGAATGTTGTATTGAAATGACTGAAGTGAAGTATTCTTAGGGGTCACTCTTTACAGATCTTTATCTTCCATTATGTTCCATCCGGAAATTGAGGATGAAATATATTTATTTATATTTATACTAGAAATGAAAGGTTAATTTAAATGTTTTAATGGTCTTTCCATTTAAAAGAATGTTGTTTGTTTCATAGGCCCCTTACGGAAGAACCGACAGCCAACAGACTGGATTCCCAGACCACCCCCTAAGTACACCCTAACTGGTCATAGAAGCCCAATCACGAAAGTTTTATTCCATCCTGTGTACAGGTAATGTGCCTCCCTCAATTTCATATACTTCCTAGTGTACTTTATATTTCCCTGTCTACATCTATACCGTAAATCCTTGAATTAGCCACCTGGGGGGGGGGGTACTTATAAAATCGTCTACAACTTGTCATACGAGTAGCTCGTTTCGTAACTTTGTTAAGGTTTTTAAAATAGTTTTGTTTGCAATTTATTTAGAAACTCTTTCTAAGATATCATAACAAGGTATAAGTCAAATGTCAAAAATACATGTTAGTCCAAAACATGGATATTTTCAATGTCTTTTCGTCAATTTCTCGTTTTTTCAGTTCTTTCATTCGCTATTTAAAGTGTTATCAATCATGTACTCGAATGGTGCATCTTTTAAGCCCACATTGATCCATGGGAGCTTATTATATTGCAGAAATTGGCTTTTATGAGTGGGGACTTATTCGAGGTTGGGGGCTTATTCGAGGTTGGGGGCAAGTTCAAAGCTGGGGGCTGATTAAAAATGTTTACTTCCAGGCTGGAGGCTAATGGGAGGGAGGGAGCTTATTCGAGGTTGGGGACTTATTCGAGGTTGGGGGCTTATTCGAGGTTGGGGGCAAGTTCAAAGCTGGGGGCTGATTAAAAATGTTTACTTCCAGGCTGGAGGCTAATGGGAGGGAGGGAGCTTATTTGAGGAGTGCGAATTTGAGGATTTGGGATTTTTCAATTGACAGCTTCGATTCTTGTTTGCGCCATTTCAAACTGTCCCTGCTCGCAGAAGCATTTGGTTAAAATGAAAATACAAGATTGAATAAATGCTTTGACTTTTTAATCTTCTTGATCGAGGGTGATATTTTTATCTTCAATGTATAAGGGCTGATTTGAGATATCAATACAGCCATGCCAAAAATAAAACCTTCTCTCTTTTGTATTATTATCCGCTGTTTAAAGTATACCAAAGTGACTTTGCATTGAATGTTAGTCCATTATTTTGTGTACTTCGAGCAAGTTTCTGTATCATTTTGTTTACAAGCAACAGGATTTAAAAGATAATTAATAGAGAGTGCGGCAAAATAACCGACGCGAGCGAGGCTCGAACTCACGACCACTGACTTTGTACGTCAAGTATCATTTTGTATTTCTGCGAGATCATTTGAATTCACAATCGACGCCACTACCTGAAAACTGACCCTTTTTGGAGCAGCTTTATTTGACTCTGCCGTGTGCTGCTTGTTTAGGCAACTAGCAAGTTTCGTTTATCAGACTGATTTTCTTTTGCAGTGTCATGGTTACCGCTGCCGAAGACGCTACCATCAAAGTACGTGTTTTTATTTGTAGCTGAAAAATCATTTTTTGACTATGTTGCTAAAAAAGTCTTGAAATGTAGCCTTGCTTTACACCTGTGTATAATGTATAAATGATTTTCAAAATGTACTTACTGGCTAATCGAGCTGGGTTTATTTTGAAGCCTATCAAGACTGTTACTAGCTTCCATAATGTTACCCACAGTGCCACAAAACAGTGACATGAAAATGCAAGAAAGGAGCGGAGAAGCAGAGGTGCCTTGCACGCGAGTATCTTAGTTGCCGTAGTGTGAGGTACCTGGCCTGTTAAGCAGTGTTTTTGTGGCCAAGCAACAACTTGAGTGCAGTATGTATAGATAGCTGGATCCATGTTCTTCCGTGTCGTATCAATGGGCAGCGCACCTGTAAAGCAGCTTACAGGCAGGGCAACTGCTCGCTTTTTTAATTCGTTTCTATGTTATCATTCTGTTTTGCAGTGCTGCTGTAGATATTTTATATGTCACAGGAAGCCCCCGTGTTATGCATATGTCAACTCATAGAAAGTTTCACAGACTTTAGTATACCGACTAATAGACATGTGATAAAATTTGCTTTCTATTACGAAAAAACGCTCCTTTGCCTGCATTGGTAGGTTTGGGACTACGAGACTGGCGACTACGAAAAGACTTTGAAAGGCCATACAGACATCGTTCAAGACCTAGCATTTGACCATACTGGAAAGTTTCTTGGTAAGTTCGCTCTGTTATATCAGCTTGTTTTTTCATATGTTGATTACTGTTTTGCTTAAATGATATCCCATCCACCTGTTAATGATGAGGTGGGTTGCGTTTCTTAATTGCCTGTTTTAGTCTTTATTTCGTTTTGTTTCATCTCTTGAATAATTCATTTACTTTACCGAAACCGAGAATTCTTTATCACAAATGGTTTGCTTCTTTGCCGTAAAAATTATTTCTGTCAGGAGGTTCCTGATCACAAATTCGCTGACTTGTGGTCCAGCTAAAGGTCAAAGATAGCTTGCTTGCTTGTAGAAGCTTCTTTAAGAATATGCTGTGGCCCCAACATCTGAAATTTTTTCCTGGGCAACGGCATAATACATCACCCTCATTTTATCGCTTCTTTTGATAAATTGGAGAGGTACGATCAACTGAAGAAGTATAACAATTATTTTTATTGCACATTGGCTAGGTCCACCCGGGAAGGATTAATCTAAGAAAGTGATGCTTTGTTAGCCTTTTTTTGTTTAGTTTATTGTTCATGTGATTTAATCCAATCATAACTTTTATCGTTCCAAATATGTGTTTACGCAAATAAATATACAAATGTTTAAACGAATAATTTGATCAACTAGTTTTGAAGTCTTAGAATTTTACCCTATCCACTGTTGTTTTCTCGCCCTCGTTCATATTTATTCAAACTCTTACCAAATTTTTGCTTATTTATTAATTCCATATTAAAGTTTCTTAAGTTTCTTAAGTAGAGCTTCTTCATGAGTTTTATAGCAAAAATTGTATTTTCCTGATTCTAGCTTCAGCGTCGGCTGATATGACAATAAAGCTATGGGATTTCCAAGGATATGAAAATATTAAAACACTTCATGGTAAGTTTTCTTAGCAGCTCCACTGTCTACTTTCATAACAGCTTTGTCGTCCGTAATCAGCCAATGAGCGTTAGATGTTGCTTGGCAGCTGATATGTCAATTTCCATTGGGTAAAAACCGCATGCATATGGCACGCATGGCTCTGTTAATTTATCTAGGGTGAGGTCGGACTGTTTTTTGTGTTACTTTTGCCTGTTACTCTGCAGCAAATTATTTTTCACAGGGCATGATCACAATATATCTTCGGTATGTTTCATGCCATCTGGTGACTACATAGTGTCCTCGTCGCGAGATAAGACAATCAAGATGTGGGAGGTAGCTTCTGGGTAAGAATCTTTCATTACCAATGTAAATTCTTCGTCAATTCCTCGATTTACCAGTTTGCAATGCAGGGCTTCCGATAAAGGGGGGTCAGGGGGGGGCATGGCTTGCATCGGAGCCCATGGGATGAATGCACCACGTGATATCTAAACTTGCAACTTAATGTACTACCCGGTTCAAGTCTTATTATGAATATTTTCCAGCATTACATTTAAGAAATAATATTGAACTTAGTTTGGAGCTTACGTTAGGTAGTATTGAACCGCAATTCTGCCAATCTTCTTTCAACACTACATTTTATGTAGGTTCGATAGACGATTTCTCTATAACCCAATTAATTGTGAACAATTTCCAATCTTTTATCTTTAGCTGTACTTTAAAGTTTTTTTGAAAAATAAATCTCTTCTGTATTGAATTTCATATTACGGAAATATGATGATTATATCTAGAATGAATGTCTGGTTGTACCTCTTTGTTTGGCAAAACCATTTGCCATTTAACCTTCATACTAGCGGCAGGCAGGGAACCTTTTCCTTCTTTTGCGTAAAACTTGTTCCTGGAACAGCGTTGAACGAAAGATTTTTTCAGCTCATCGCTATGATCACTCTTGAGTTCAACTTGGGTATTTGGTGTTTTTTTGCGTCAGCATTTTGATAATGCAAGGGAAAAATATACAGCATTGTCTTGAACAGTCGCTAAACCAAGTTCAATTGCTGATGAATCTAGAAACCCATTTAATAAAATGCTTTCGGTGAATATTCATGTGGAGAATCTGTGCATGTGAACAGCTGTGTGCTTAGGATGAAGTTGCTTCAATTTAATGTGAAAATTGCTGCCATTTCGTTTCACTGGTAGTTGTTTGTTCAAATTTGATTTTTTTAGACTATTTTTCCAGACTATTTTTTGAGATTTTTGTGGTATGTTGTAGATTGAGAGGGCCTTTCTATTCCAGGTATTGCACAAAGACCTTCACCGGGCATAGAGAGTGGGTCAGAACTGTCAGTGTTAGTCCTGATGGTACGTCATATTCCTTGTATCATGCCTTTGTTTCTTTTTGGCTTGCAAAGCAAAATGTACAAGACAGCGTTGTGGATGAACCCTTTGCTCATTTTTGTTTACAACCCCGATGCATCCTAAGCATTGCGTTACCCGGACGCTATCTTTTGCTGATGATGAACACTTTGTTGCAAATTGGAAACCCTTGTTGAGCTTCTACCCAAGAAAGTATACTTCTGTTTTAACGCCATTTGACGATAACTGTTGTTATTTACGCGACCTTCATAATGAGATCTGAGTTGACCTTGTATCTAAATTGCTAAGTTCTTGCAAATTCATTTAACAGTTACTTGCGTGTTTTACGAAACCATTTTCGCTCTTATTCCAGGAACATTGTTAGCAAGCTGTTCAAATGACCAGGTATGGTTGCGTTTTTAACACCATAACACAGTATCTTAACATAACACAATAGTCTGAAGACCTTACTTCATCGGTTGATTTTAACTTAGCTTCTGAATAGAGTTTCTTTTTACTTTCACAAGTCATCCCTGACTGCTAGTCAACTAATTTGCAATAACTTCATCTTTGCTGGATGTATCGAAAGATGAGACCGGCATTTTTAAAAGAGTTTTTCTTTCTAATATAACTGTTTGTCTTTCTTCATTATCTTGCTGCAAAGCCCCGAAATAAGACTCTGTGTTGAACATTTGCTTTGTTTTCAATAAGGGATTTGAACAGTGATCTAAGTTTTTATTGGCATGATGGAAAATATAATTTTAAGAAAGAAGTATTGTAAAAGAATAATTGGCACATTCCATATCATTACACTGCCCACAGTTTTGATTACTTCTATGCATACAGAGTCCAAGGAATAGCCTAGACGAAATATATTTTTAAGTTAGGACTCTGCCTGGCTAAGAGAAAAAAAATTGAACTGTGGAAATCTAAAGGTGATTTGAAATCATAGTTATTTATTTATTAAGAGTGTGAGTAAAATGGTTACAAAGTAATCAACAGCTTTATTATACTATTTTATGTTAACCCTAGTGCCGATTAAGTATCACATTTAAAAGCTCATTGGGGATTAAGAGACTACGATGGTGGACTGCTTTTAATTAGATAGCATGATCCGTTTCATACACTAGGCCTGCCCCTTCCCGTGTATGCCAAGGCTTGCTCGTGCATCAGACACTAAGCCTGGCGTGCATCATCCGTTTTATTCACTAGGCCTGCCCCAGCCCGCATATGACAAAACCCTGCATGTGTATCAGACACTGTAGGCTGGTCTGTGCATTATCTGTTTCATAAACTAGCTAGGACAAGGCCTGCCCTTGTCATGTTTTGCTAATCGCAACCTAGAGGTAGCTAGTCATGCTCTCAAATTTTGTTCTGCTTCTTTTTCAGTCCATTCGAATTTGGGTTGTAGCGAGTAAAGAGTGTAAGTTAGAACTAAATGATCACGACCACGTGGTAGAATGCATCGCCTGGGCGCCTGAAAATTCACATCAAACAATTAATGAATCCATAGGAAACACTGTGAGTTGTTTTATATCTTTCGTTTTGCTATGTTTTTAAAACAGCAAAGTTTTGTTATCTTGAGACCAGAGTCGACTGCAAAATATCTATCAGCAAAACTGAATCATATCTTTTCTTGCTGTTATCCTAAAATTGTAATCTAACCTTCTGTGCCTTTTTTCATATCTAATGCACTTGTGTAAAAGATCTTTATAGACTCAACGAGCTTTTGTCAACTTGGTTTGACTTTTCTGTCAACTTTATATGCCTCAACCGGTTTCATTCACCCACATAATTTTTGTGTAGTCTCTGCCTAATATGGTAAAAAGTAAAGATATGTTGCGTCATTGACATATTTTCCATATTCCTTTTGACAAAATAATCTTTGCATTAATTCTCGCTTTTATTTTTACCTCTAATTGGTAGGATTTCATTGAAGATTTTGTTGAAGAATTGATTCTGAACTTTTCGTTGCAGAAAAAAGCACCCGGTCCGTTTTTAGTGTCTGGATCAAGAGACAAGACTGTGAAACTGTGGGACATTGGTGCGGGTGTTTGTCTCTTCACTTTGGTACGAAATTTGCTTTTATAAATTTGATTATTGAAATCTCTAATGCAATCTGTATCTTCATCGAATTTTAAAGCAGCTTGCAATTGACTTTATTATACTGTCCTAGTGTCGTAATTATGCGAAATTTGAAGATAAGTCATTCAAACCTATATTAATCTGTAGACGGTATCGCCGATAATATAAGAATTTAAACTCTGTTTGTCATAACTTCAACTGATATAAATTGAATTGCCCTTTGAATAGTCAAGGGATAGGCCATCCTTTAGTCAGGTTGATGGATGTCGACCCCTGCTTGTCGTGTTCCGAGTTTTTTCAACTTATCCCATCCAACTTAATCTCTCTGTAATTAAAGAAATGACAGCATGTAATGTCTGACACAGACAGGTACTTGTGTTTCAGATCGGCCACGATAACTGGGTGCGTGGAATACTCTTTCATCCGAGTGGCAAATACGTGCTTAGTTGTTCTGACGATAAAACAGTCAGGTCATGGGATATCAAGAACCAGCGCTGCCTCAAAACTCTCAATGCCCATGAACATTTCTGTACTTGTTTAGGTAAGTTAGTTGCAGTTTCCGTTCATATTTTTCTCTCAAACACGCTAAGAAAATCCGTATTTTCGTTCCAGTATCAGGAATTCTCAAGAATACAATGTGTGGGCACAACGAAGATACTATATTTTCTGTATTGAAAGTGAAACTGGACGATATTTACATATCCTCTTTTCATACATGTTGGGATACATTCTAAAAGTTAATGTTCTGCAGCTGTTCGACAGTATCAATAATTTAGCAGTATTTGCGCCAGTTTTAAAAACGTTTTTGATAGTTTAAACTTCCATAGATACCATAGTTTCTAGCTGAAATTCAAACACAGTTTAAAATTTGTTTTCAAATATGCAAGTTCTGAATTCCAAAATGACTTCTTTGTAGACTTTCACAAATCGTCACCATTTGTTGCGACCGGTAGCGTTGATTTAACAGTCAAAGTTTGGGAATGTCGCTGAGGAGAGTCTTACTGTTATGAATAATGAAATAGAATTATATTGGCAAGAGGAGTGAAAATGAAGTCGGACAACGAGGTGCCTTTGCTGTTGATGCGAATTGTTTGCTGCAAAACTGTTTCGTAAATGGAGCGGATAGTGCTTCTGTTGTATCTACAGACCGTGAACACTGGTGACTGTTTCATCACGGTGATACTTGTTTCTGCGAACCTGTTAATTTGATCATTCTATTGTTGCTATACCTGTAATTCAACCGTCGTACCCTAAATACCAGTTCTATGCGTGTACAGATAATGCCCATCAACTTTAGGCAATGCTGTTACCCTGTCAAACCTTGATCAGATGGCTTTTGACTTCGCTTGGTCGCGTGGCTTTAGAGACGATACCATATTTAAGAGGGATATTCACATGCTGCCAGCTCTGACTCGTCGTGTGTAGTATGCCTACAGTTCATATTCAACCCTGGGCGGTACTTCTCGGGTATTAGATAACACCCTTGGTGTAAAGTGTTATAAACAGCAATAAACGTTCCCCCTTTTGATTTTTCTACCTCACTTCAATTTGATTCTGAAGTAAATGGTGATTTTACATCGTTGGAAATCCAGCTCTAAATTTCAATTTCTATTTATTCTCGACATACTAACCACTAACGAAACACAATTCATCCTTGTTGTCTTCTGTGTAGTTGGGTCTTTTTTCTTTGTTCTGCGCAATAAAGGAAGTCACGCAAAAGAAAAAGGGTCACGAATATCTTTGTGAATATCTCATTTGATCGCAACTTTTCTTGTTTAATATCTTTGAAATAATGCCCATGTTGAAATAAAACGGCTTATTAGAATAAGCCTACGCGCCTTTCCTAGATCGTTCATTGTCAAAACTGTGGCATTTATCTGTAATCATTTATCTTTAGCCGTTTATGTAAAATTATTGTCAAAATTAACAGAAAACGGACTGAAATATGGGTGATCTTGTCTCCCTTGTAAGTAGCATGGCACGGAGTTTGCGGGCGCCAGTTTGAGAATGGGTTGCTGGAAGCCTAAAAGAAGCATGCAGATTAAGATTAAGTTCACCCTCCCGATTGACGAAAGTTGTCACCAGTATTGTTCTGCTTTCCATTGTGTTTGTTAGCCTATCCGACACATCACCTTCAGAATCAATCCCTTGCAAGGTTGTCTCCGTATGTAGCTAAAACCAGATTTTATCAATACACATAGAATTATTTGGTTGTCCAAAGAAACATTTACTTTGCAAGAGGCCCTATGCAGACGCTTTGTTAGGCAATGCAGTTGTGCTGTAGCTCGTTCCTTCAACAACAATATCTCAATGTAGATTTAATTCAGAATGTTCGAATGCATTATTGCTGTCTTGGTTGCTGTAGAATTTACTTTCCATGAATGTCGTATAAATGTTAGAAAATCTGTTGCTATTTGTTAAGTAGTTCTCTTTTTTAACACCTTTGATGAATTTTCTTTTTCAAATGACGTCAGTCTTAGGAAATCACTAGAAAAATCCATATCGTATATAATATTTTATTCATTAATATCAGCATTGTTTTCTCTGTTGCTCAGATCTGTTCATGTTTCGCTACTTCGCGCAATGTAAGGGCGCGTTTAGTAGCATGTAGCGGATTCACCTAGCCACTCAAATTAATGGGTATTTTAAATGCTATATCTGGCCTCGCAATTTAAACAGTTATTACCTCGCAATACCTCCGCATTTATTTCGATGCACCGGTACGCATCATACAAAGTTCTTGTTTTGGTGAAGAAGGTTGCGTTTATGTTCTTCTTTATCACGACGAGACTGATTTTGTCGCGAAGACGTGTGCAAAGTAAAATTATATTCTATCCGAGCCCGTCTGTGATGAATCTGTGAAGGGGCTTACTTTTAAGGTATGGGAGACAACATCGCCTCGCAGAGGAAAATAAGCTCGGTATACAAGTTGAAGGGGTTTCTTGGCTCATTGTTGTAAACGTGACTCGGTATACTTGATATTGCTGCCTATTTCGCATGTAAATGCATCGCAGATGAGGAGGGCTTGAACGCGGGCTTGAACGCGGGCTTGAACGCGGGCTTGAGCACAGCTTAAATGTTCAAGGGATGACAATCTTTTGAAATTGCTCAGCACTGCTCGGAATGAAATGAACGCTAAAGAAAATTCGATGTTGCGTATGGAGAGAAACAGCAAAGTTTGTGGCTTTCGTTCAATTGTGGCTCGGGATATTTGTTCATTTTATTAGTTATAGTTTGTAAAATTTGATTTCAAATGAGCGATCTGATACAAGTTTGAAGTGATTAAGCTGATGGCGAAATACCGTAAATACCCGCATATAAGAACCTGCATTTTTGCAAGTCAGCCTGACTAGGTTCTTTTTAATTGGGAATTTCATAGGAAATGAGGTGATTTAGGCTCTTAAATTGGTTCTTACTTGATGCAGGGCTTTCATCAATCACTTTTGTTCCATTTCAAAATTCAAGCGTATTACATACTGGGGCTAAAGGTCTTTAAATTCCAGTGGATTACTTATTGGTGGAAATCCGTACTACCTGAAAAAAGTGTTGATAAAGTCGAGCAAAAAGGAGTCTACCATAGACTTGAATATAAATAAAATATGATTACTACATGACTTTGGCTGGGGAATTGAAAATATCGATACACTGAACGGAGTATTGAATACTGCATTTATATAGGTAATTTAAAGCATCTATAATATCAGTTCAAGATTCATTGGCTATGGCTAAGCAACAGTTCAGTAGGTTCTAAATCTTCTAGACTCTTCTATGCAGGTTTTTACTGTATGCAACGTGGGCAGCGTATGTGTTGTAGTGCTGTTGCCTGTGACTGTCCCTGCGAAAAACCTAAGGGTAACACCTTTCCCACCAAGACAAATGCAAGTAAGTCATGTGAATCGAAATACTGAAATCAGACAAATCTGAATTCGTAATCGTAATGGTTGTTGGTGAGATCTAGAAAAACACAAAAGTTTTTTCCAAAAGTCATTGAAATTGTCTTGACTGCAAAACATCTCCGTATCAGATCTCCAGGGTTGAACCCAGCAGCCTAGCGCTTCAAGAACATAGTGCAGTCATAAAAGGTCATCGATCAAAACATGACATTAAACAATTAACAAAAAATAAGATAGAACTTTTGAACAGGTTATGAAGTGTTCAAATACTGCAAGGGCTTAAAGGGAATAAAATGACAGCCTAGATATACTATCAAAAAAGACTTCAAAAAGACACTTTGCATTAAACGGGTACTAGGTTAACTACGTCACAGATATATTCGACGAATACACTCTTAGAGGACATTTCATTGTCAAATTATCATTGTCAAATATGTTCCATATTCGAATAGCAGTTTGCTAGTTTTTTTTTACAAAATTCCCTGTCTATTAGATAAAAGATATTTCTTCAAATACTTCGATATCTGTGATGGAGTTGGTTCTCCTTCGCAACGGAAAGTAAAGTCTCCATGCAGGCTAAGGGGCTTGTTGACTTCATCATTATTTGAGAGTCGTTCATTACCACATCTCAGACAGTGTTATGTTATATTGAAATATGCATAAAATACATTTAGATTAGCACGATAGCCAGCATACGAAATTATGTAGTTTTAGCATTGACCGATCAATGATATTGTTAAAATACATAAAGCAACATTATTGTGATCGACTGTAACAAGGAGCAAAGACGTCTTTATAAGATCAAGGGTACAATGTGATAACGTGACCCTTTTTAGCAACGAAAAGGGATCGTTCTTAACTGAATGTACTCAAAATGGCTTCACCTACTGTAACAGTGTAATGTAACTTGTCTCGTATCCAAAAAGAAATATATCATTTACTCCTCCGCAGAAACACAACGTCTGAGTGCTAGCTGTTTCATCCCCGTTTTCACCCCCTAGGTTCCAGCACAACTCTTTTTACCATCACTTTTCCAATCCCTACATATGGGGGGTCCATACGTGGGTACTTGAAAATCACCTTAGCAATTTCTTCTGATTCAGGTGGCACCTGCCACAAAATTAACTTGGTCTATGTAGCGTCTCTGAGTGCAAAGGCCTTAAGGTAGGGGTGTTCAGGTTGTGTTATAAAATATCAGCCAAAAAGGAAATTTTTCTCAACTTACATACCCAATTATGTTGTTTGGCTTAACAGCTCTTGCCATATTCCATTTTGTCAAGTGTACTTAGATCAATGTTTTCAGCTGTGTCTATTTCAAAAACATCTTTATTCTTTTTCTTCTTCTGGAGCTTTGAACATCTCTTCTTTTTCAGGTTGACATGGGCTCTCCAGCTCGCTCTGCAGCACATTCTGGTGTCACGGGTGCTTCAACATATAGCAAAATTCAGATTATATATCTTAATTATCAATTTTTGCCATTTGTTTCATGCTTCCCACTGTAAAGGATTCCATGATCGACCAGAAAAATCCCAGAGTTTCTTACAAAAGGGACCCTAAATATTCTGTAGAGACTAACTTTGGCTTCTTTCAGCCAACGCAACATAAAAAAATCGATTAAAGACAAAATTGCTAATGAAAAAATATGGAAACCTAAGAAGACTATCATCAGCCAGTCGTTGGGTTGTGACTTGTGTAAAATCCAAAAATTTCCGACAAGCATTCAGGTTTTCAGGGTTATAGGGGGGGGGCACGCCCTCCCGTGCCCCTCATAGGCATCAGCAATGATTCGGTTTCTTCGATGAACCCACCGTGATGTAGTTTCTATATTTATAGCTGACTTACCACGTGCTTAGGGCATTACAACACCACAAAGTTGAGAAACGGATGAAAAAAAGATTTGTGGAAAATTTCTAAAACTTGTACGAATTGATCACAAGGAAACGCTCAGAAGAGGGTGAAATAGCTGCCAGCAAAACCGAGGACCTCAATCGATTTGCTCTGTCGTTACCTGTCCCTAGGCTGCGCACTTCGATGTTTCCACCAACCTTAGATTTTGTTGATAGACTCTATAAAAATAGAAAAGTTTAAGTTATTTACAACACTGGGCCTCCGATAAGGAGGACGAACTGAGTTTCGGGGGATTAGCTCCCATAATTTGCCAAAGTATCGACTTTTCTGCAAAATCTTGTCGGTCTCTTTAACTTGCTCTCCCCCCCTCCAATTTCCCACTTGCGTCTCTGCTATATAAAAATTTATGGGTATTTGCGAGTGACTGAAAACACTAGAATCAAGCAAAGATCTCTGTCATTCTGAGAAGTATTGTTTTCCAGGATGTTATCGGTGACTTTACGAGCATGAAGTGTAGAAACTTGTCCTTCAGTTGGAGACACTTGAATGACTTTTTAACTTGAAATATTCTAACGTGATATATTCAATCAGACGTTGCAATGCTCAAGGCATCCATGTTTCAATCCACCCTTGTAAAGACAAAGTAATAGAACATAAACAAAGGGTATATACAGGGGCGGACTGGCTCTAAATTTAGGGCCCGGGCCAAGTCGTCGAGAAAGGACCCGAAAATCAATAATAAGTTTACGGGTATCCCCAAAGTTGTTTGTTGCATCACTTTTTATACTGGTTTAAGCGTTATTGGAATATTGCTATTAATTCTAATTAGTAACTACCAGGGATGTAGGCAGGGACGTCCCGAGGCCCTTGAGGTGTATGGTCGAATCTACCTGAAAAAGCCTTTTTTACCTGAACATTTTATATTCATTCTTGAACATTCACAAGAAGTGTTTTGATAATATTGATGTTCTAATTAATTGATTCCCTTCTTGTTTTCAGCAGCGACCACTTTTTTACAATTTTATCAAGCTTAATATTGTCCGTTAAAACTCTCTCTGCGGCAAGTACCATTAGGTCGTTCAACTTTTCTTCGCCTGTCTTGTTTCTGGAATAGCTTTTCACCCTTTTCATTAAGCTGAAAGAACGTGCAGCAGTGATGAAAAGCCGGTAGAGTCTTGCTGTCAGTTTAAATATTCCGTACCTTTGCTCGGACTAGAAAGCAATCTTGGTCGCTACGTTGCAGCTCAACTGTGCCACTTCTTCCCGTTCTCTAGATCCCTCTCTTGTTCTTCTTCGTGCACTCTCTTTGCGTGTTCGAAGAAAAATGCCAGTTCGCTGTGTAGAGTGGTGCTGCTTTCACGAGAGAACACTGTGGGAAACATTGAAAGAAGACTGCGCATTTCCTCGACAGTGCCCGGCATTTCTGGGTTCAATACTTTTAGGAAGAGTTCAAGCGTACCCTCTTACTTGATGAGATTTTACTTGATGAAGACTAGAAGAGCATGAAATTTTTTTGGGATAGCAATCATTTCATTCTGATTGAGCCAGGCAAGGGCGATGCTTGCTTCTTTTTTCAAGACGTTAATTAATTGAGGCAGGTCTTTTGAAAAATATGTTAAAGTGTTGTCATATGCGTAATTTACAAGAGAAGCCTTTTTAATGAAATAAAACAGGTCATTAATGTAGAAATTGAAAAGAATAGGGCCAAGGCGGTACCCCTGATAAAACAGATTGAAAATCACTGTAAGTATCATTGATTCGAACTACTTGTAAGCGCCTTTTTAAATAGGAGTAAATAAGGACTAGAGAACTTTCATCAAAACCATAAGCATGAAGTTTTGCAATAAGAAGGTCATGCGAAATACAATCGAAGGCCTTTGATAAATCCATCAGTACTGCTCCGACAATGTAATCATTGTCCAATTTGAGTTTCCAGTTTTCAAGCATTTTAATTAAGATATGCTATGTACTGTAAGCCTTCCTGTAGGCAGCAACGAAAGCGGGTTAGATAAAGGCCACCACCATGGTTAGGAATTCTGGCCGAATTCAAGAAAAATTCTCGAAATTTGACATTATAGGGATGGTCAAAAATGCATCTAGAATACTTGCCACATCAATTTTGTCAAAAGGAAGATCCTAGGCAATACACGAAAGCTTTCATTTACAATAATTCCCCATCCCCTAATAGTTTCCAATTACCAAAAAACCAAGATCTTATTCTAAACTTTTAGCGACAAGCCCAGCATTTTCGACAACTTTGAACAGATTTCTAAATGCAATTATAAAAAACCCTGTCTTGTCTATTGAAGACAGAAATAAATGTTCTCAGTAAGAAACTTTCAAGAATAACGAGTCATTCCTTTCTATGTTTAGATATCAATTCTTGTCTACATTTCTATGAGCATAAAGCTTGTGATGCATCTAAGTCTTCCAGTTGTATCTCGTTTTTTTTCTTTTTTAGTTTACAATGGGAGACATTTAAAATTTTTTCGTTTTTATGCAGACCCGTAGACTGCCAAACTGGATGGGGAGCATGAATAGAAATATAGCTTTTTCTTTACCTGCCTTACCAAATACTGCGCTTATAAGATCTTCACACACAGTTTTCGCTAATTATTGGGAGGGGCATTACCCCCCTGCCCCCAGTGTCTACGGGCCTGTTATTTTGCAAAGTTCGTCAGGGCAAATATCGCATGGTTTCCGCCACGTCAGCAAATTTTCGAATAAAAAACTAGCACAGTCAGAGCACGCCAGTGGAATTATGCCAAAATTTCTCCGAAGAATTACACCTTCCTAGACCTTACACAATGTACCTTCCTAGAAATTGAGTCACAAAAATTGTCATGTCCTTACCATCAAAAACTGTCATGTCCTTACCATGTCATTTCCTTACCATCTCGATTTAATGAAAACATTTAAACTGAGGGCCCAAAGAAAACATTTATCAGATTTTGAAACTTCCAGTTAAGTATCGTATCATTGCATTAGGGACAGTGAGCCTTGGGCCCAGGATTCTCCTTGTTTCCATGGGGCCCAAAATTTTGGCAAATGCTTTTTCAGTACTTAAATACCGCAAAGTGATCTTTTTATTCATTCTGTATCCACTAATCTTGAGAGAGTCTCGGTGTTATGGCAACAGAAGAGGGCCCCTACCAAACAATAAGAGTTTTCATTTAATAGCAAAGTTAAGAGAAAATTGCATTATTTTTGGGAGGGCCCACCAGGCGATCGCCCGGTAGCCCGACCGGCCAGTCCGCCCCTGAGAATATGCAAGGGAATATTAGGCACAACAACTAACGGAATGATAGATACACTTCTATCTACTTTTCCCTAAATGAATTGCTTTGCTCTGCAAAAAAGGTTTGATGTAGCTTTTGCTGTATTTCTAAGCCCAAAACGTACTTAGAGCATTCCAATATTAGATATACAAGAGCATAATATGAGACGTTTAGACTATAGTGCGGTTTCAATCAAATATCTTGCTGTTTTATACCGGCATCACTCATAATGTTTAAACACTTTTTATATGCGAAAAGTTATCCTGTTTCAAGATGCCAACAACATATTGAACTATATTAGCAGAAATATCGAATCATTTTTCTAGCAGAAATATCGAATCATTTTCCATACTCCTTTTTTCCTGGAGCATGTCCTCTAGGGTCATTCCCGTCTGCTCTCTATCTGCTGCCACGCAATCAGGGGGTGGCACTAGGGGGCTAAGCCACCAAAGGAGCATGCTAGCTCTAGCCCCTCTCGTTGGCTAAGAATCAAACTCAGTCCTATAACTTAGAGAATGGGTTTGGTGTGTAAAAACACACCAACATTCTTCATTTTTATCTAAACGAGTGGCGGTCCGAAAAGACCCTAGTCCAAATATCACGGAGTCCCTCTCAGAATGTGGTTACCATTCAAAAATTGCTGTCCTCTTGAAATTTGGTAAATAACAAACCTATGTAGGTAAATACATATGTCCTAAATTTAGAATAGGTTTCTGAGGTTTGGTGGTTGTGTTGGGGGGGGGGGAGGGGTTAACAGACAACACTGAGAGAAATACCCCGCAAGGAATTCCTGTCACGTTCAGGGATGATTGCCCGCGTCTTACTGCGGGCTGCGGGAAACGTAGATATGATTAGACTTGTAGCTCAATGGACTTCTTTTGAAAGGCGGGCCTAAGTTGATCGATACGGCAGTGGAGGACACTAATCAATTTATCGTGTTTGTATTTGCTTCTTTTAATGGGAAAGCACAGACAATGAAGTGACAAAAATTGTATTTCTGTACATGGCATCATCAATCAGAGCCCAATCCACACCAGAGATCGTCCAGCATGAATTCAAAATCTAAAAAAGGCAAACCCGACCGAGCGACTGCCAACCGGTAACTGCTTTGATTATCATATGATTTAATTTTCTCTTACAAATAGTATGAGTTTGATAAGTGGTTTGGAATACACTGGATGTATTATTTTTCTGCATGTAGTCATTCCTAGTATGGGTCTGCTGAGCGAAAAATAAACTTTTAAACCGGTTTACAGTAAAATTACGACATCGTCGATCCCACAACTTTCTTGAGGACTGGACCGTGCTAATGAACAGCACATCCAGTCCCCATTTCCCAAGTCACTTTCGAGTTCTCTGATCGCTTTTTTAGAATGAATATGTTCTGTCTAGGTCCTTCTGATATTACTCTGTGACGGATATAATGATGGAAATGGCATTGTCTGGGCAAACAGAAAATTAGGTTCTTCTTGTCAGCATGTACCTGCGGAATTTAGCCCTGTTGCAACCATTTTGTTTCGGAATTTTTGTCATCAAGCTCGAAAATCATAGACAGGTTTTTTTCGTGATACAATTCGTTTTTGTACTGTGTTTAAGAAATATTTCAAAGCTGTTTGTCGTTTTCCAACGCTAAGAACTAATTTTCCTTCACAGATAGGCCAATTGATCGTTTGTCAAATTCCTTCCAGACAGGCACATCAATGACACCCCTGCAATTCGGCTTTCATGTCGAAATTTTATAAATCAAGAAACAGTTAAATTACAACTGAAAAGTAATTTAACATGACAATTTGTAGTTGATATATTCAGGACTTTTACTTTTGAGGGGTTAAAAACATCTCGACATGTCTAAAGCTTATCATCGCGATAATTTGAAATAGAAACGGGCCATTACTGGACGCATCATCGCAAATTCAGATTATTCATAATATCTGCGCTTTGAACCAACATTTTTTGCGGAATACATGTCTTGTCTTTCTCTTTCAAGCTTTCGAGTCATTTTAATTTTCAAGTAGGAACTGTGGGTGAACACAGGAAAATATGCACATTTGTGAAAGTCAGATAGCACTAGAAATTATTAAAACCTGGCTGGCAGTGATTCATAAAGTTATTTTTTATCAACTAGTATGTTATTGTTATATGTGCTTGCAAGAGTAAACATTCTTCTCTTGTAAAATCCTTTTTAAGCAGGTTATGAAAACATATCAGGCCTGGCCATTTGAGGAGAGCCATAGCTATTGCTCCCCTCCAGACTCTCCTCAAATGCTGGAGAGGAGCTACAGATTGCTCTCCTAAATTGCCCCAAAAAGCAAATCGATCTCCATACAATCTGGTTTTCCTTTTTCTGTTCTTATTTATCTTCAAATAGCTCACACTGGATATTTCTAGAAGAGCTGTTTACTGCTCCCCTGTTAAAAGTCTTGTGGCCAGGCCTGCATATGTTGGCAAAATGACTGCACCAAAGACTCAAAGAAAAAAAAAATCTGCATTAAGAACAATTAACAGAGGAAGGCTAGGGTAGTCATGGGTAATGTCGGACACATTCAAGCATTTTGCCAATCTGTCAATGCCACTATTTCTTTTCAATAAAATAGTTTTTTCTTAGAAAACCATATCTATGAGGAAATTTTTGATGAATTTATTTTTACATTACAGTTCCATAGTTTGTTGTTTTTCTGAAATCAACGCTAATCTCTCCATGTGGGTGATATCGAGCATCCATGGGTAATGGCGGACAGGCAGATTAAACATAAAACAGTTTTGGTGATCTAATTAAGAATATGATATAAGGCCAGGGATAATGCAAGAGTTTAATTCTAGGGTGGGAAATGGTAATGATTTCCTGATAAATTTCTTTATTAGTTGAAAACATGCATAATCAAAGGTTTGAAAATTATGAGCTCTGACAAAAAAGCCGGGATCCTATCCGAACTTGTATTATTCATTGTTATCTTGCAAAAATCAATATTAAACTTGAAACCTGCCTTCTCTTGCTGGGGATAAGGCTAATTTATTCCATCAGTAAAGGTTTTATCAAAATTTTCACTGACATGCATTCAAAACACATTTATTCATTAGTTCACACAGCAAAAGGGCTCAAAAAGAGAAAAAAGTAAACATAAAAGGTACCCAAACATGCTTTTAAAAAGATTTTTTTAAATGTTCATGACAGATTCAAAAAAAAATTCCTAAGTAGTTTTGTCCTTATTACCCAGCATCCAGCATTATCCATGACTACCCCATGTAGTAAACAAATATGACTTTTTTTATCCAGTTTCTGTGATACATTGGATGAATATGAACTTGAAGGTGATTAAGATGTATCTGAAGTTGTTGCAATACTATTATGGAATCAAACAAAGACAACAACAGAAAAGTATTCTCGTTTAGAGCAAAAATATCATATTGCATAATGTGCCCTTTAATGCTGGAAGTTGTATCTTAAGCAGTTTGATGATTGCCGTTACCTGTCTGTTGTTAAGTGTTTGATGCTGCATAAGTAGAGCTATACACATTTTTAGTGTATAGAATTGGACAGTTCTAAGTTGCTACTCTGAGTTTCACACTCATTTTGATCATCAGGCAACTGTTAGCAGTTTGTGTTTTTGGTTGTAGACTACTTAAACTTTGGCAAAACTAACATTCATCTTTAAGAAGTTATATATATTTTATACACAAATGTAATTTGAAAGTATGATTTGACTTTCTTTGATATCTTTTTGAAAACAGTAATTATATAATGAAAATTGTTAATGGCCAATATCTGGGTCAAGAAACAGCATCATAACCCTTCTGTCCGGCACAAAAGGCATTTTGGCAGGCAGGCCACCAAATTCCCTCCTTGCTCTGCCAGGAAGGTGATTTTTAGAGCACATGAAGTCACTATGTAAAATACTTCTCCTATTCTAATATTTTGGTAAGTGTGAACCAGCTTTCTATGTTTTCTTCAAACATGTCCCATATCCATCATTCACCATTCCATCCATAACCATTCACACCATCACCTCTCCATCCATTTTCTCTATCACCATTGATCCCTTTTCTTTGCTAGCAAAGTGTGTGGAAATTTTTATCATAAATTTGAAATATGTCACACCGACCTTGTTTATATAGCTAGATTATATCATGACGATCATTGTTTTATTTGTATTGGTCATTAACAAATTTAAACCACATATGGCAATGTGAAGATTTTAACAGCCCAAATAAAGATAAATGGGTAAAAAAAGTAAATTTGCAAAAGGTTTGAATGTTTTCATGACAGCTTTAGCAAGATGTGAAATAAGCAAAGAGTTTGGTTAAAGACCTTCGCAAATTCGATTTTATTGATTGACTTTCTCCTGGTATGGAGAGGATCTTCAGGGCTTACTCTTGAATGAAATGTATAAAGAGACTCGAAAGACTGATTTTATTTGAAACATCCAGGCATTTGGTGGTGTGACACTTTTTTGCAAAAAATGTTTGGTTATCAAGATAGATCTACGCAGAAATTGCCAAAACGAAAATGCTGACTCCAATAATTTTGATGAAATTTATTTTGCTGAATCCTTAGCATTACTACTAACATTTTAACAAAAAAAATTTTATTTCTGAAGACTTGAGAAAGTTTCTACAGAAGTCTAAACTGAACTTATTTAATTTATCAGCAAAAAACGACACTACAAGTACAGAAAAATTTAGCCATATCACAAACAGTTTTTATCAGCTTCAATAATAAATCCTTAGCAGAGTCATTAATGCCTTGGCGTTCATCTGGTTGTAATGACGGTTTTTGCGTGTAAATCCGTGTCCTGAGGGCCCTTGGTTATCAAGCATGACAGCTATTTTATGTACCTCACTGGCCAGATGTCGATACTCCATAAAGATAATGCAGAAAAGATAATGATAGGTCATTTTTCATTAATTTAAATGTCACTCAAGTCTAGATTTACACAAAGTGAAGTCTGAAGAGGGGGCTATATGGAGGTAGCAAAATTCACAAATCTGCTAATTTTTTATCGCATAATTGGGAAATCTGCTATTTTCTCTAAATTAGTAATCAAAAATGAAAATCTTATTCATAACACTTAATGTTCCTTATAAAATTCGGAGACAAAAATGTATGTTATATAGTCTTCTGTGTTTTGTGATTTGTTCACTGAAATGCCATAAAGCCTTGTTATCAAATGTAAACTTTTGCACAAATTTCCATTCCATTTTTTGCATCATAAAAAGCGCGTGTTTGCCAATGTCTGTTTTGCTGATGAAAAATAATTATTCCCCAAGAAATAATGATAAATATATAGCGGGGAAAAAGTAGACCAAAATAACGATGAAAATTTATAGAAAAGTTCGTCATATAGAGGAAAATCATGATGAAGGGACATGCAATTTGGTTCGTAATAACAAGAGTTCGTTATATACCGAAGGAATTTGTATGGGGTTCAGCAGAATCCAAAGGGCCAGACCTATTTTTGTTATAATGGAAAATTAGTTATAGCCAGGTTTCATATTATCGGGATCCCACTGTAGGTTATTCTTATGATTATTTCAAAGTCATATTTAATCCGCAATCCTGATGAGGTGTTAGGCCTTTTTGAAGTGGCATGAAGTAATAGTACCAAGGAAAGATTTACATTTAAACCTGTCTCAAAAACCAACAAAACCAATCATTGATAGATAATTTCACTCTCAGAATAAAATAAGGCGTGTGATATATTTTGCACTCCTCAAATGCAGTAGGCATGCGCCAGGGCCTGAGCGTGCAACGGCACGCCTTTCCAACAAAAGCCTGAAACTAAAAAAGTTGTTAACATTGAGCAAATTAGGAGGGCATCAAGGCACACATAATGATCACCTGTCTTTAACTGCTGCCTCCCATAACTGTGTGCAAGGTGAAATATTAGTTTTATGTTTAATTTGTTTTCAATTTCATTTCTCAACATATTGGATTCTCGTTGTTGTTTTGCTTTGTTCTACCTATTTCAATTAAAGTTAAAGTCATGAAAAGTCAAAGATGTGTAAGCATGTGATGTATTTTGTTTGAATCATACCTCACACTTTTTAAAATTTCTTAGCAAAAAGGGGATTCCCACTGATTTTAGGTTGTTGTTTGTATTTTACCTTCAAATATCTTATACATTTTATAGATAACTTAAATTTAACTTTTCAAAGTAGCAATTTTGCCTAAAGTCATTATCTGTTAGTTATCATTTTGCTATTTAGCGTTTCTCTTCATGTGCCAAACATTTCTACAGAGAAAACAGCAAGTTTAAATAAATCATTTTAATATGATATAAAAGTGCTTATTGTGTTGCATGTTTGTATCAAATTGTGTTATAAAAGTTAGGTTAAGAGAGTGATGAATTGGCTTGAGTCACATAAAATAGAGCCACAATAATTTTTCTAGATCTCTCGATTTAGATACCTCAGCTTTCAAGTTCAAATAAAACATGGTTGTTTATTGTGTTTTGGAATTTTTTTTAGTTTTAACAGCTTCTAAGCAAATAAAATAAACAATATATTATTTTAAACCATAGTTATGCTCTATCTAAGGTAAGCTAGGTTTAAAAAGATGCTATTCCTTTAGGCCAAACAGCTACAAAGGAAATAGGCAAGGACAAACACAGAACTATATTAAGACACAGAGCAGAGATTTTGCAAAGGTAAGCGTTAAATAGCTGTAATAAGTTATTTTGTTGGCTAAAGATTTTTAAGCATGCCTGCATTTACAGATGCCTTTTTCAATGAATTCAATGCTTGATAATTTACAAGGTTGATGATGACCCTCATTTAAAGGCCAGAAACAATACCATTGCAATAAACTCAGTCTGGATGTGTTTTTTTAGGTTGCGTTGCTGTCATTTATTTTGTTGGATGTTTGATATATAGCATAATTGGGGTCTCTCATCTTTTAGCTTTGTTGGTTAGGGGTTAGGTATATCAAAATAGATTTCATAATGTCTTTAAATTATTTTCCAAACTTTTATTCCTTAGATCATGGTAAAGTTTCAGCAAATTCATGCTTGCGATGGCAGCATTGTTTGAAGAGTTCTTAAAGGATTACCTCACAAAACATATTTTTCGGATTTTCATATATAATGTGAAGTGCCTCTTATTGCACAAAACATTTTTTTTGTTTTGCTTTTATTTAAAAGTCTGGGCATACTTTGTTCAGATTAGGCCACCTAGAAGTTTAATTAATTGGAATTTTATTATCTTTTAGCCACAAGATTCATCTGCACATGATTATAGCAATAGTTATGTTGGAGATTCAATATTGCATTTGGTGGTAAATTCTTGGTTGTTATACAATTGCTATATGTGCTTTATTTTTCATGACTATTTTTATCTCCGTAACAAATTGTGTGAGAAAGTAATGGTTTTGCTAATGAAATTTGGAAATCGAATTCAGTTCAAGATATATATAACGAGAAAAATTATTTTTTTTGAGCAATGAGAATTCTTCCAAACCTTGGAAGGATTGTTAGTCAAACCAATGTGATGATAGCTTTTGGAAACCAATGTGATAGTAGCTTGGGATATCTTGAAAATAATAGGTTAGGATTTCAAAATATTTACAGTTATCCAGTGGCTATTTCCAGTTCTTTTGTTTCTTACTATTTAATTGACCCAAAATATCACGTTTTTATGCTGTTACATTTGCAGGGCTGTTCTGTGCATGTTCAAACTGTGGATGGGCAGATTTATGATGGGATTTTGGAGTCAGTTTCACCAAAAGTAGGTTACTGTTGACCCTTCTTAACATTGTTATTAGAGCTGCAGTGTTTTTGTGATTCCTGGGATGGCAAATTTATCTACTTAAACCAACTAAAAGTATATATATTTGAGTCTTTGTTGAGTACGGAAGGCTAGATCCCAACCACCTGTAGACTGAAATGGATATCAAGCTGCTACTAAATTGATTATTGTCAGATGGATTCAGTGAATTCTCAAGACAACATAGAATTGGTAATAAGGAACACCACAATTTGTATAAAAAATGTAAAATTGTAAATAAACCAATATTCACAAGAATAATGCTATTTTCTTCCTTATATGGTAAATGCTTAACTGTTATTTTGTAGCTGCAAGGCCCTTTGAACCAACCACCCTTAGTCACTTTTAAATGGCAAATTCCAAACTTATTCACCCTATTTCTTTTTCTTTCTCTTCTTTCTTTACCTTTCTGTAATTCTTTTTATGAGATTCTTTCCATTGCTTAATGATGTGAGAATCTCTAATGGAAAAAGATGCTGAAAATGACAGGGTAAATGCAGTTAATGCAAGTGTTTTATTGATGTGGATTGAAACATCAAACCCTCACAAGTTTGGAAACTCTAGCAGCAAAATACATGCCCCAGTTTTTTCTTTGCAAATATTCCCCATGTAACAATAAACAGCTTCCAGGGGATGATCTGGTGCTTATTACTATCTATGGTAATCAACATGTCATTGATATGATTGTTAAACATGAAATCAAAATGTCCTTTGATTACCTTAAAGAATATATTTTGTTGTTGTAGTGTGAATTGTCAGAAGCCATTTAAATATTTGATCTTTATGATAATTTTTTATTTGGTTGATGTGAGAGGAATCATGTATATTGTGTTTGGCATTTTATGTATTAGTATGCATGTATATGTATCTTGTCAACCTTTCTTCATCCTTTATCTTTCATATAATCGTCTAATATGGTTTCTTGTACTCTTGCTTTTGTATTTATTCAAAAAGCAAGTTAACTCTAGAGTGAAACATTGGCCTCTTTTTGAATTCCTTTTGTAAACATTCTTCATTTTAATTGGTGTAATTTCTATCTAAAACTTCCATTCTAGTTTACGTTTTGTTTGAGAAATGCACATCTTTTGGCAAATGCCAACCAGAGTAAGGTAAAGGTTCAGTTTCCGTTAATGTTATCATCTTTATTTTTGATCAATTTTTTAATGTAACAATGTGTCATAGTCTCATCTTTTTTCTCATTCTTACACTTTTTGGCAAATTTTCTCATATGCATCTTTTTATTTCTGGTTTACAAAAAATGTTTACAATGAATCAAACACTTAAGTATGAATTCCCTCCCCCCCCCCACACCGAAAAAGCTTCCCCCTCGAATAAGCCTCCACCCTAGAACTACACATTGTCAATAAGCCCCCCTCCAATTCTCGAGTTGGATCCATCCATTTGATGATTTTGCCATCTGAGGTTGCCTATGGCGTTTTATTGAATTACCGCAACAAATTCATACTTTTGGTAGTAATTAATTAAATGCTCATAAAGAAATTCCTACTGATATGAACGAGATCTTTTAATAATGTCTTCTCAATGTCTACAATAATTTTATAAGCCCCCCCCCCTCGTATAAGCCCTCCCCCTCGAATAAGCCCCCATCCAAAATATAAAAAAAGGATAAACCTCCAGGGGGCTAACTCGAGGATTTACGATGTTGCATCTTGTTACTACTATAGATTTTGTTTGTCCTACCATAAGTCACTACCCCGGGTTTTCCCAACATTTTTAGTTATATGTGGTTTCAGCGACTTTCTTTGCTTCATATTAGATATATGTTTTGCTTTATGAAAAAGGTTGTATACGTTTATTTGCGTTCGATTTTAGGAATATAATATTAATCCAACCAAAGGAGATCTATCAGATGTTAGTTTTGAACTTAGAAATGTTCTTTGCATAAAATGCAAGAATGTGGATTGGGATTATGCAAGAAAAGGTTTGTTTTTTCTGTACCTGCTTATGAGCTATTTATATATTGATCTTATTCAATTTTGTTTGTTTATTTTGTAGCTATTTTATTTTGTTCTGAACTTTGTCTTATAATAAAAGTGTATGAAAATCTGGATCTGTCCTGAAATAACTGCTTAGAAATGGAATAGTTAGGAACCATGCTCTTTGATTCAAGGTGACTTATTTCTGTCTTGCTATTGATAGAATGAACGGATCATGGTACTGCTGTGTCACCTCTTTGTAATTTAACCGCTTGTTTTCAAATTTCATTGGTTTAATTGATTTATTTGGTTTTTGCTTCTATTAGGGTATTCTTTGCTTTGCTATTTGAGTTTTCATTATTTTCTGGTTTAGGAGTAGTAAGGTACTTGACTTGAAACTCTTTCAAGTCCTCTTTAGGTATCTCAAGCAACATTCCAATAGTGTGTTATTTATCTGTTTATTATGTGACAGTTGAAATTGAATTATTTGGTATAGGGGAGTTGTGCAGTAACATGTAGTGAATAATTTTTTAGACACTTTTCTCACGGATGGTATGATATCGGGTGTTAATGGACCCTCTTCTACAGAGAGGGAGCTGGAGGTATGTACTTTTTTGTCTACAATGTTTCAGTGACTCCAGTTTCGTCGCGAAATGAAAGCCTCTGCTTTAACCAATTGACAAAAAGTGGCCAAGATTAATGCAACTTGATGTTTGTTGCAAAAGATGAACTTCTTGATAACGTTTGTTTTAACCGCTTTTTATTTATTCCTGATATGATATTTATTTTTGAAGGTTAATCATTCTCCAGGGAAGGAGAATATTGAGATGTATTGCGGTGGTGCTGTTTTTAGGAAATAATTCTTTTTCGTATTAAGTAAGTGTCATGTCCCTGCTTTTTCACCTGTTTTAGCCATGGCAAGACTGGAAAGACGACTCTTTGGCGCTTGGAGAACTAGAAAGAGCTGTTAATTTGGTGAGACCTGTATGTCCAGCTCTATTGTAGTAGTAGTAGTAGTACTATGACTGGTTTTTTTAATGATATCTCGATAAGCTAGGCCTATGTAAGCTTTTCAATCAACTCTAGTTGCATTTGCAAATTTCAGCAGGTCGAAAAACCAAATGTTACCCCAGACAAAGTTCCTGATATTGCATTAAACAATATGCTGAACTTTGGGTCTAGTAGCTCTGTTTTCAGATAATAGGCAAGAGTATCGTTGCTGAAAAGTGCCAGGTCAGTGATGTTCTCAATATATGATGCTATTTTTGAATATTTTTATGCGTTGGGCTCAATGCTGACTAAATTGATATTTTTCAGAGCAATGGTGGTGATTCTTACTCTGATCTGAAGAGAGCCAACGAAGAAAAGGTAAATTTTTTTATAAGTTTTTAGCACATAAATCAAGGCCACTTTCTAAATTTTAATGAAGAGGTTGTCCTGAGAAGTGCTGAGGGAGATGCTTTTCTGGAGTTTTGCACTCTACTTTGTTTGTATCGAGCAGAATTTCTTTGTTGTTCAACTAACACTGAAAAGTGCAACGACTTTTGGAGTCAAGACGTTTTTCTCCTTTAAAGATTGCACAATATTAGAGTAGACTACGATTTTTCCATTTTTCTAATACCGCAGCCCCTTAAGATCTTTCTATGCATCTTACTTAAATGCAAAGTTAATGATTTGTTGCTTTGGTTTTAGTTCAATTATAAATCATCATTTAGTGAAGCTTCTCTTGGGCTATACATGTGAGTAAATCGTTGGATATTATTTTCTTTACAATCTATAACCGCTGTTTGTTGTGGTTTGACTAAACTCGGTCGTGATCTTCGTATCACAAGTATACATATATTTTTTATTTTCTATAACCCTTACGTTTATGAAGTGTCAGTTCCCATATTGGTATCAAGAAATTTTTCATGTTTCTAAGAATACCAGATTTCAAAATGGTTCATACGAGAATAATTTTTAATTTATTGGGTATGCCAATCCCGTTTCTCGATAAACTTTCTGAACTATTTCCATTTGTCGAACGTTCCAACAGTAGGCTACTAGTTACGTTTGTGTTCAATAGGGATGAAATCGAGACACACGATCAAGAGGTTTATAAGATGCGAAGCCTTGAGGCTGAACAAATTGCGCGGGAAATAGCAGGCGATGATACGCATGTTCACCATGACAAGCTAGATAGTGGGGCCTCTGAGGAGGATAAATTTAGCTCTGTGAGACGGTCCTTGCCGAACTCAGGACCGCTTCCCGGAAGAGGCTCGAACATGCAAGGTCGCAGTCGAGGAAGGTCACGAGGATCTGGTTTTCAGGGCTTCAAGGATGATGCAAGTGAACCGTCAGATAGTCAGGCGGATGGAAAATTGCGCAGAAACAGCAGCGGAGGTACGAGAAGGCATGAGACAGGTAAGAATTCGTTTGATTTATATCACTAGTTGTGTCAATTGTCAATAAAACAATGCACATTAACTTACAATCTGGAAATTTTTGATGGCCTTTAGTGAAGCATCGCTTGCATATACCGTAAATCCTTAAACTAAAAAAATGCAAAGTGGGCAAGTTAATTGTGAAGATGCTGCTGTGCTAAGAGTTTCTTCAGGTACAAGTTATGTAAGAAGACACTTTCCAACCAGTTTCAAGGACTACACAAAAACTGAAAAATGGGGAAAATGGCGCGTTAGATGATTCTCTCGCGATGTATAGGTATGCTAGAAATACAGAGATTGATTCTAATTACCCTGTTGGCGATAACCAGGGTAAAGTTTTCATGTCTGACCCTTGCGCTTTTGCGTAGAAGGCTAATTTTGGAGACACCACGGTCGGACCACAAAGGTTTTAACACGTTCGTGATTAAATCATTGTGGCATTTTTATTATATATATGTTTTATTTAGAATAATTAATAAGCCCCCCTTTCAAATAAGCCCCCCTTTCAAATAAGCTCCCCTTTCAAATAAGCCCCCCCCTCTAGGACTGAAAAAATAAGCCTCTTCGAGTCTTAATAGAGCTTTTACGGTAAATCAAAACAAATTAGGCCGAAAGATCATACTCAACTGTCAATGACAATGTTAACGAAAGTAACTTATCGTCGAGACCCTGTATTCTGAAATTTTTCTTCATAAACATCTTCATAGCAAAGCCCAATCCTTCTTGCTGCCGCTCTTTACTGAGCTCATATTACGTACCAGACATCTTCTTAATACATAGACATTGGACCCCTATGTTCTTGATAATGGAGAGGTGGAAAATAGTCGCTAAAGCAAGGTTTTTGTAATCCAAGGGAGGGTTTAGAGATTTTTAAAGCTAACACCTAGAAGAAGAAGACAACAAGCAGCTTCAAGAAGGTCTTTATACAGTGGCGAAGCCAGCCAAAAATAATTGGTACTGCTGTATAGACAAGGTCACGCCCTTTTTCATTAGTTATAACATTTATGGAACAGAAAATATTACCTTTGGAAATCAGTGGTCCTGCTCAGCAGGACAAGCAGGAACTTCGCCACTGCCTTTATAACAAGGCGTCTGACAAATAAAAATCAGTTACTGTTAACGACGTTTTGCTAGACAATGAAGATCAAAGCTTTACATGTATAATTACTTTAAAGCACTATTGTCTGAACTAATACTAGTAGTAATAGCAGGTTTTTCATGTTGTTAGCCTTTTCGGGCTCTCGCTTTCTGGCATAAAATCACATCATCAGTATTCATATTCCCTTTCTATGTTTCAGTTTCCGTAGTCTGCGCGTGCATTCTCTAATAGAAACGTTTGATGTGATAAGTTTTTGTACCAACTATTACCGATCAAAAACACGTCACGCCAACAATTTTTGCACTTTTTGTAATTGTATCTGATAATTGTTGACTTCCACTTTTAGATGAAGGCACAGGGTCCCATAAACTTTATTCACAACTTTTTAAAGCCTCACCTGCTCAAGATCCGTCAAACCACGGGCGCTTTGTGGCTCCCTCGCAGCAGCCACAACCACAGCAGCACATGTCGTACCAGCAGGCAGCTAGTCAGCAGCATAGCCAGTCCTCTCAGAGCGAACATCACAATTCGCAGTATATGCAACAACAGAGACCAACAGATGGTCATCATCAGCCGAACTTTCCTCCTCGAATGCTTCAGCAGCAAGCAGGCAACCCTCGGCAACAAATGGCACCAAAGCAGCCTGTTGCGACCCAAGGAAGTCAAAATCTTCCTTCATCCCCGAAAGCAGAACAAAAGATTGTAACAGAAGTGGATGGAGAACCTAAAGATAAGGAAACTGTTTCGAGTGCACATGCTGCAGGCATTGAAAAAGTGTCTTCTCAGTCGCTCGTAGATTCAAGACCTTTGACAAAGGAAGCCGTGAGTGCATTTTTGCCCGTAACCGGCATATATGCTTCTTTTGTACTGTGCTATTGATTTCCATTTCATTATAAATTCATTGTACTGTATTGCTAATTATTTTTGCATCTCAAGTCTGTTCTCTCTCAGCAAATTAGAAATAGACAGTGTGGTCCAGGCATTTGATGCTATTTACAATTCTGCCTCTCAATCACGGAGTCGTGGCTAAGCTTCCCTTGATCAGCGGGCACTCCTTAGAAGTGCAATCAAGTTTTTCCTGCAAACGTTGGCTTCTCATCCCACTCTTCAACTGCCAAAAATTTTGAAATTTGACCTAGCGTTTGCATGTCACTGCGATTTTTTCATGTTTCTTAAGAATTGGTGTTGGTATTCAATTTGTTTGTCTTTTTTAGGACACGTTTAAGACAACGTATTCAAAGAAAACAGTAATATTTGTGTTCTTTTTAGGTTCCCCCATACAGCATTAAAATAACGAGGAAATCTTTCAAAATGTTCGAGCTAATTTGCTGGAAGATATTTCTTATTTTTTTTGTAAAAATAGGCTTTTTCAAAATATTTCTTAAGTTGTAAGTCCTCTTTTGGTTTCCAATTCATAGCCACACGAAGACTGTTTTTACCTGTTTCACACTTGTGTTATAAAGAGTGGGCGCAAGTCTGAACGAGGCCCATTGAGTTTCCACTAACTGCCTATATACTCGCTCTTCTTTGCATTTAGGATGGTTTCTTTGATTTTCTAAAAGCCTTTATATCCTCTTCATATCTAGGCCATGATATCTAGTAGCGAGCAAGCTACATCTAGGCAAACAAAGTGAGCTTGAAAGACCTGTAGGGTTTTTTATTAAGACGGCAAAATTAATTTAGTTCATTTTGTGTCTTAGATGAAGTTGTCATCAGAAATCCCAAAGAGCAAGAAGCACGAAAGAGAGCATCCGCTGCAGAAGTTTGGAAAGGTGTATGCAGCTACACATGGTAAAATATATCTTATAATAAATTATATTTATTGTTAGTTATAATATAATACTTTTAACTGATTAACTGATAATTCACAATACGTTAATTGAAAGTTAAATGATTATTATGGTAATAATTATTCCAAACTGTTAGTAAGTCTTGTAGCTTATTAGGCTTTTTCACTCAAGCAATCGTTCATTTTCCAATGAGATACAGAAATGTTATCAGTTTAAATGGTGTCTGCTTCACGAGTGTATATTTTAATTAGAATTGAGGTGATTGTTTATGGATTTTTAATTATTTACAGACAACACGCCGCGTCCTTTATTGAGTAATTTGAAATCGTTCAGGGAAGTTAAGGTTGGTACTTCTTTTCCTGGCATTCAGTTTTTAGCTAACGAGAATCATCTTTCTGAACTCATGATTTTTTCGTCAGATCTTTTACCGTTTTAAGTTTTTCGCATTTGACCTTACTCGATCAATTGCCCCTTTTTGTTTAGATTCGAACCACAGAATTCACAAAACATTGTTTCGTCAGTTTCAATGCTTTAAAAATCTGTCACCTTACGGCGATTCTCATTTGAATACTTTTTTATTCAAAGATTGCGGGGGTTCCCCAGAAGCGGCCTAAAAAACCAAGCGAAGCCCAGGCAAGCGAGGCACGTGAGCATAGAGAAACGGACCAGGAAAAGATGGTAATACCCGTGAGTCCAGACTTCTCAACAAAACCAGAGACTGCAATAGTTGATGCAGAACAGGCTCCTAAGATGGAAAATCTGCAAATTGAAGAGGAAAAAGCTGAAGGAAAGGAAAATGTAACAGAGAACGTTGAGGGTTCTGTTGAGAAAAAGGCGACAGGTTGGCATTATTCAATGATACACTAAATACAACACTGCTTACATTTATGAGAAAGTTTGTTTACCATCCGTATTGTTTCTTATTGTAATCAATATTGACAGTCAAAACCATTTTGCAGAAGAATGGCATTTGCTCTTGCAACTGTTGTCTATGCGTCTTCCAAGAGCTTTGAGATAACATGTATATCTTTCAACAATACAAAAAGAACTGGACTTTATCAAGACTGTTCTACTGGATTTCTATTAACCTGACTTCAATCTCCTTTTTCGGTCCTTTTACGCTTTATCCTGAAACCCTGCAGATTCTATTCCATTACATCTATTCCATAGACACTTACATTCGCACTGTCACAAGTATTAACTCAAGGTCGTTTTTTAAAAGATTTTAGCGCAGCTCAAATGGAGAGCCTTTCAGCCAAGGTTGCAGAGGAGACCAAGCTTGTAGGTGATGAACCAAAAAATGTTGAGTCGCGTCTGAATCCAAATGCCTCAGATTTCGTTCCACGGGGAGCCACTGCATCGTCTGCTGCCTCCCAGCCTTTTGCCCAAGGTGCTGCACCTGCCTCCGCAAACACATACCAAGTGACCGCCACCAGCATGCCGTCAGGGGCTCTGAGCAACATTTCCGGCAACCGCATACCCGTCATCTATCAACAAGGACCGAATTCACGGTACAGAGCCAACCCTGCTTATAGTGAGTCATTTAGCATTGTTCCACATAGTTTTTCTTCTTTTCTCGTTAAAAGACGTTTCGCCCTTCTTGAATTATACAGACATTAATAGACCACTCCTGACATTTTCAGCAAAACTGGTTTTTACCATTTTTTAGCTTTAAAGGGGCTGTGTCTCAAGGGACATCCCGCGTGGCAACACGCCAGTTTGCGAAAGTTGTTTGGGTGTAACAACCTGCGTTCAATAGGAAAACCAATATGGAAGAAACGCACAATGTCCCGTGTATTTGGTTTGTTTACAAAACCGTGACACAGCCCCTTTAAGTAAGAGAATACTTGAATTGTCCCCACCAATCGGCCAAACGCCCATTTTGCGTGGAGACTTGAACAACTGTAACAATTTCTTACCAAAATTTGTTACCACTATATTTTTTAAACATGGCTGAACTTGCTGCAACAATAAATCCAGGCTCCAGCCTGAATTCACATAATAGAAATCGTCTCATAATTTCTAATGCTCAGGAATCTTGCTTTGCTGCCGCTTAGAAAAGCAAAAAAATGTTCCCCATAGTTGTCTGCTCTTAGAGGGTTCTTACTTTGAAAGAAGTAATTTTCAGCAACTAAAAGTCATCAAATTGTTTTCTCATTAAGACAATCAATTTGTTTTCTCTTACCTTCGAAAGATCTCATTTTCCAAAAAGTGCCAGCAAAAGTATATGTCTTCTGTCCATCACCACAGATCCGCGAAAACTCTATGCTTCACTGTAACTTTTGGGCAAGGTCGCCCTGCCTGATTTAGACTTAATTGTTGGTTATAGCTTAGCCTTCTCTTTGTCAAAATTTTGTCAAAGGGAATGGCATCTAGAGCGCAGCTCATTTTCGAGCCAGGCACTTCATGGCCATTTCAATGGAGATCTTAGAGATCAATAATCTACGCCATTATCATTGTCTCACAATTGTTTGCCTGCGATCTGATACCAGTGTTGCCGCGAAAAAAGATGTGACCACTACAGAAAGAGATGTTGTATGAAGTTTTTGAAATGAACTTTGATAAATTTATTAATAGCAGGTCCAACCGCCATTGGGCCCAGTGTTAATGCCTGTTAGTATCTAGGCTTGTTCAGAATAAGGTTGCTATCTGCTAACAGACAACCAACCCTGAAATTCTTATCAATATGTAAAAAGATGCTGTGAATCCACACAATGTATTGCGGAGGATGGTTTTCAATCCGGCCAACTCGTAGTAAACCAAAACAGGCTTGTAGGTATTGTCCAGGATTTTTCATGAGTCTATAGCGATGTTGTAAATATTTGGATGCATTTTACGACCCTCCCTAAAACCTCTTCTTTGCAATTTTTTGCTGCCAACGATGGCGACCGCCTTCACTAAACTCCTGAACGATCTTTCCGCCCCCTCTCTACCCCCAACCTCCCTCAATAGCGAAGTTCCTAATTATCATTGTTGTGAAGTTTTATGATACAGCCGCTACAACGATGCTCAAAAATACTGTCAAGTTTTACAAAGAATTACATATACTATTTGAAAATTCTCTAACACGTCCTATCAGTAATTGACTACCCGCTCTCCCCTCATTTGAAGGTCTTACAATACGCCACAGATAGATAGATATGGATCAGCGTGCTTCCGAACTCTTGTACTTTACTGCACATTTCCAATACTTTGAAGGAAAATTGGAAGATATGTGTGGAGCCATTTTGACCCTTTGCCCCCCTCTGCGATGTCATCCCCAGCACGCCACTGTTGCATCTGACGGTATTTTTATAAGGCTAGTCTTTTGATTTTCCTCTTCAAACGGAGAAGCACCAGTTCAGTTCACATGCTGAAATTTAAACGCCTCTGCAATTGTAATTTTTACTTCCTATTTCAGCTGGCTATCCAGTGCAACCAGTGGTAGAGACATCTATAGCCTCTTCTGCACCCGTCTACCAAGGAGGCTATGTGCAGCAGCAGCAAGGAGTCCAGCAACAGCAACAACAACAACAGCAGTACCCACAGTTTATTTATTTCAACCCGCAGACGTCTCAACCAGGTTGGTCCTCAAGCTGCTTGCTATTCAGGCTCTCAATAAATGTGTAGTTTTAAATTATAATGAAATTCAAACGGTTATTACAGTTTCCAAAAGCATTAAGGACATATCCCCAATCTAGGAGATCTTAAACTCATTCTCCTTGAATTCGGTTAGTCAAAAAAAAGACGCATTACGACTTTAAGATTTTAGGACTTAATTTTGTCACTGCCAGTTGTTAATTTTATCAAGGTTACGATGGCATGTATCTTCTTAACCTGGGTACCAGTCTCCATTGTTTTCTCGGAAATATAGTTAGAAACTAGTCACAGAAAATTTGTTTGTGCAAGGAATAGAGACTCTGGTTCGAAGATGACCAACCTCGTTTTGATTTAGCGAGCTAAGACCGACACCTTTGAAAACCGCCGTTTTAATGGGCAGTGGCCGCCTAGCAATGAGCCAGTGGTGTTGCGTGCAAAGAAGGGCCTGTTTAGAATCAATTCAAAGGAAACACGGAAATTTTGGAAGCCAATTTTCAAGGGGTCTGTTAGGCATTGTTTGCTGATTCAAGAAAAGAGTATGATAATTTCATTAGCTGATTACCAGAACAAGTTCATTATTTGGGTAGCACGGGGTTCATATGTGCCGTAGTATACAGGAAAAGAGAAACCTCCCCCTAAACTCCGACAATTCTTGCTGTTTTGGTAATAAATATTTCTCGTCTGCTGCCTCTTGACTGGCAGACTCTTGCCCAAGGAACAGGACTATGAATGTGGAGTTTCTGGCTCAATATGCATCCATGTAGGCCCAATGGAGATTCCTTGTCGGCACAGCTGCGTACACATAGTTGTTTTCTGTGTAAAAGCAAAACAATTCTTTGCCTTATCATAGAATAATCAATAGTTGGCGAACTTTCGTGACTTGCATGTCGAACTTTTGGCGTCTGGTTCGGTGTTGTTGACTTGAAATGCACCTCGTTGCGTTCTCGGAAGGATTTCCTGTCGAGGATAGCCATTGTTTCTTTTATAAGACAACATCTGCCTTGAAGATGTTTGTGGTGGAGTTGCACCTATTGCGTAGAGAAAAGGCGATCGAAGAACTTTCCTGATTACATGATCCCAGAAATGGAATATTGCCAGCTCAGTCCAGAGCCACTTTCCTTCCCCTCCTCCGCATCCACTCATTCTTTGCCACCGCAGCTGTCTATAGCACTTTATCCCTGGATTTAACCGGCTCTGGTACCCCGGGTAGTATCTTCTTCGTAAGCTAAGCTCACGCAAGCACTTTTATTTTTCAAATAATTCTTCTCCACATTTCATATCAGCAACATGCACCTCAGATTGTAAACGTATTTTTCTCGCCCAAAACTACCTTTTCTACAAAACAACTTTGCAAATTGTCCCATTTTTTGCATTCTAGGTGCGATGATCCACGTGCATTCCCAGGTGAGTTGTTATCAGTAATTTCTGTAGCTACTTCTTGATCATTAATATTTGTGTTTGTATAAAGCCTTGAACCTTTTAGCCCAAAACCATGCAAGTCTATTCAGAATTAAACATCTACGCCCGACGTATTAAAGCATCAAGTTTTGTTATAGAAATAATTAATTATCGTTTATTTTTAAATTTTGGATTCCTCACCGAATATTTACCGTCTTTTCACAGCAGCAAACGATGTTGAGGTATCACGTTCCACAGCAGCAGGTAATTCGTGGTTTCAGTTGAAACGTTGTTTTTCATGCAGCCTAAAATTTCTTGCAATATGAATTGCTCAAAGATTTGATTGAAATAGCTCTTGCAGTCAATGTTGTCATTCTAATACATGCTAATATGGTATTATTGTTCACCTACAGTTACTAAATCTACTAATATTTTTAATCGCGTCTCTGCCTTTGACCAGCTTCCTCGTGTTCTTTTGGCCAAGGTTGGGCTGAACACGAATCTTGTCAGTAATTAGCTTGGTTCTCCAACCTAGTGGATGGCTGCTGTCCAGTTAATTATTCTTGCTTAGATTTTTCATAAAATCTCTTTTTATTTTTTGTTCTGAAGCCCAATTCGCAATAACTTGCAATAAAATTTTATTCTAGAATCAGGTTGGCCATCCACAGATCATGCCTCCAGTGTTTCAAGAGAACACACCTGTTTACTTGGGTGCGTTTCTTTAAATGTGCTGCTTTCTCCATACTCTGCTTAGAGCATCATCATTGTCATAGTGATCCAGTTCTATTCCCAGCAATACAATGTCTTAAGTTTAGACTCTTGTGTTTTTTATATCAGCAGTAAGCATGCAAAGTAATACTGAAAAAATAAAAAAGGCCGTGTAATGAACACTTGTTGATTAAACATGGCCTAGTTCAAATCTTTATATTTTTAAGTAATCTTATCACTATTCCATTATTTCGCCCCAATTTCGTACCGCGAGAGTTTTCCCATATTTGTTCTTCGTACCTGGTAAGATATTTTGCCCTCTGTCCTTTCCGACATGTGGCTATCAAGGAACAGGGAGGGGTTTTGCTTCCTTTTAAAATATATTTCAATTGCTTTGCACAGCAGAGAGAACATCTGCATCCTGCCATGTCATGTCATCTTCATTTGTCTCTTCTAATTTCAGTTCCTGGGGGAAATCTAATAATGCAGCAGCCGCAACATCAGCAGCAGCCCCAAATGCATGCACAGGCAGTTTCAATGAACCACCCATCAAATCCGTCAACCCCATCACCCCAAGCGCCAGTGCACTTCTTGGTACAACAGCCTTCCCAGCAGTACCCGTCCATTACTTCACCTTTGTCATCGACGCCGCAAGGTACTCCTCTCTCCCATGGTATGCAAAGACCTCCAACTCCTTCGCAACACCAGATTCATCCGTCTGCCACCCCGCCGCTACATATAGGACAACAGCAGACATATAATTATGTGCCCAATGCTGTTCATAATATTCAATCACAGCCATTTCTAGGTAGGTACTCCAGGTGCTTAGTATATGACATTTCTTTTTGCCATAATGATACACATACAACGATTTCAGTCAATTATTTTGTTTCTCAAACCGACTTTTAAAAAAGCGTATAGCAAAATAGGCTTTTTAGCTTGAATTTAGTAGTTTTGACTCTGATTAGAAAGATCAGTTTTCAATTAGATGATAAATAGATGAGAGCAGACAAATTAGGGATGTCCAATGCATAATTGAGTTTCAGTGAAAGCGTTTAAAAAGTCTTGCAAAATTTTTTGAGCTTTTTTCACAACATTAGGCAATCAATTTTACCACCATCTAAAGAATATAAAACGATATATTTAGCAACTATTACTTAGACATTTAAAAGAACATGCATAATTTGCACGAAACTTTATCAATATCCTACCTAACCATGTTTTTATTCTGAAGCATTTAATGTAATACGGCTTAGTTAAGGAGGCTTTTATCACTTATATGGCTAATTCATCAAACAATTCAGGTGTCTTTCTGTCCCTTTCATGCCACTCCTGTTTCTCGTGCGGCTTTGGAATTTCCATTTATCTTGTATTCCTGGCTCTATCCCCTTTTAAATTGAAAACATTATAAAGTTAGATTTGTTCACTTAGCTTTAATCGTGTTATTGATATGTTATGTGGAGCTGTCCACACTTGCTCGTTGTATTATTAGTCTGAATTATTGTCCTTTTTTAGCTCCTCAACGTTCCCACGGCCATATGCAATCATTTCAAGGGTAAAAAGCCAAAAGAACCTTTACGTAAGTGACGTCCTTCTTCTTGCAATGATGTGCTGGTACAACTGCCTTCTTGGTCTTCTCTTATAGTTGTTTATCTCTATTTGCCACTTGGACACTGTGACATTCTAAGACCTGGACTTGCATTGTCACTTGGACACTGTGGCATTCTAAGACCTGGACTTGCATTGTCACTTGGACACTGTGGCATTCTAAGACCTTGACTTGCATTGTCACTTGGACACTGTGGCATTCTAAGACCTGGACTTGCATTGTCACTTGGACACTGTGGCATTCTAAGACCTGGACTTGCATTGTCACTTGGACACTGTGGCATTCTAAGACCTTGACTTGCATTGTCACTTGGACACTGTGGCATTCTAAGACCTTGACTTGCATTGTCACTTGGACACTGTGGCATTCTAAGACCTTGACTTGCATTGTCACTTGGACACTGTGGCATTCTAAGACCTTGACTTGCATTGTCACTTGGACACTGTGGCATTCTAAGACCTGGACTTGCATTGTCACTTGAACACTGTGGCATTCTAAGACCTGGACTTGCATTGTCACTTGAACACTGTGGCATTCTGAGACCTGGACTTGCATTGTCACTTGGACACTGTGACATTCTAAGACCTGGACTTGCATTGTCACTTGAACACTGTGGCATTCTAAGACCTTGACTTGCATTGCCACTTGGAAACTGTGACATTTTAAGACCTTGACTTGCATTGTCACTTGAACACTGTGGCATTCTAAGACCTTGACTTGCATTGCCACTTGGAAACTGTGACATTTTAAGACCTTGACTTGCATTGTCACTTGAACACTGTGGCATTCTAAGACCTGGACTTGCATTGTCACTTGAACACTGTGGCATTCTAAGACCTGGACTTGCATTGTCACTTGAACACTGTGGCATTCTAAGACCTGGACTTGCATTGTCACTTGAACACTGTGGCATTCTAAGACCTGGACTTGCATTGTCACTTGAACACTGTGGCATTCTAAGACCTGGACTTGCATTGTCACTTGAACACTGTGGCATTCTAAGACCTGGACTTGCATTGTCACTTGAACACTGTGGCATTCTAAGACCTTGACTTGCATTACCACTTGGAAACTGTGACATTTTAAGACCTTGACTTGCATTGTCACTTGAACACTGTGGCATTCTAAGACCTTGACTTGCATTGCCACTTGGAAACTGTGACATTTTAAGACCTTGACTTACCTGTTTCAGATTATATCTAACAACCCATTTCTGGGAAACAAAATGTCACTGATGTTGATTTCACGATGCCGGTCAAAATTACTTGGAATACCCGGCAATTTGTTTTGTGTTTTCTCATTTTTCATTTCTTTTCTCAAATATTGCTACTTTGGTCCCCTTGCCCCTTGAAAAATGTTGATAGTCTGAACAAATGTGATAAAGCCTACAGGAGAAAGTACTCGCCTGTTCTTCATTGTTTTATAGTTGTTTTTCAGTAAAATTGTTTTAAGGTGAATTGCTAAGTTTGTTTTTGGAAAATAGACGTTATTGTGTGAAGACTTTTTGCGGGTTTATAGAAGCATCAGCATTAGAGTACCAGAGAGCTGTTGTCTTGATCTCTGTCTCCTTTTCTCCTGATGACACGTGTTCAAGCTTTCAAGTTTGTCATTTGACTCAGCTTAAAATTCATTTAAACTTTGAGTTATTTGATACTGTTCCCGGTCGTGATAATTTGTATACAGTTCCATGATTTTTTTGCACAAAGTTTTTTTTGACTTTCCTGGTATAATTATATTTTCTCCTTTTCTTCTACAGAAGAGGTGGAGACATGACTGCAACAAAATCAATAAAACATGACTTCTTTCTGCATTATATAGAATAAATTATCTTTTTGAATACTATTGATAATGAATTATCAGTCAGTTCATCTTTTAATATCAATGTCTGGTTTTCTTTGCCTGTGTTTTTTGATATGCAGCTGGTCTATATATATTAGTGTTTAACAAAGAGCGCTGCTCGCTGCCAAGAAAACCTCCTTGTAATTGCTCTGACCTGGAGTAAAAATGCATGGAAACTTATGTCCTCTGTACCCATGATTTAGTCTGTTATCCGTTGCCAGCGATGAAGAACTTTTTTGTGAATAAAACTCACTGTCTATATTGAATGTTTAAGGGCATATGAAACGAATTTTTCTATTGGCCAATTTACGCAATTTGACGTCCCTGAATAAGAAAATCTTGGTTAAATTTTTGAAATGTAACAGCAAGACACCAAAATTAAACTTTAAAACTCAAATTTGGCGACTTAAAGTGATACGGGGGTCTGGGACAAGAAGACAGGAAGTGACGTAATAGGTTTGACATATTCTTGTCCTTAAAAGCCTTGAAACCGTAGTAAACCTATTGACGGAGGAGTCGTATCGTATGCTAGTACCGTTCGGATAAGTTTTCGAATGAATTATGTGAGAATGCCGTTTGGCATTTTGGGTGGCATTGTTTAGCTTTACTAGCGCAGAACACGGGCATCCGCCAAATGGAATCATTAAGAGTCATATTTTAAGTTTAATTACTAGTACACCCCTCTTTGTATACAGGCCCAGGGGCGATTCCTCCATTGCCCCCTCCCCCACAATTGGTGAGCCTGCATTTCCATATGAACGCTTAAGACTGATTCTTCTCCCTCGTCTTCTCCCATTATACGACGTTCATCTTCGTTACTGGCAAATTAGTAGACCAAATAAAATTTTGTCATAACTACATTTTGATCATCCTCACACATGATATTTCTGTATAAATAGTATATAGTTATCTACGTTCTTGTATTCCTGCTATGCAATTGTTGAGACCGAGCTCAATACTGAAGCCATTGGCAACTGATTTATAAGAAGCCCCTTAAAGACCTGGCATCAAGTACACTTGTCTAAACAAAGCACATAGGGGCATTTATCAGTTGGGTTCTGCATCCTACCATGTTTAGTGTATCAAACTACGTGCTTTTGAAATATTACATGCTTTTATCGTGTTTTTCAATTGATTTATGTAAAAACCCCTTTATATTCCTTGAATCGAGTACCCGTGGCTAAAAATAGCTTAAAGGGGGTTCCCAGTTGGGGGCGCATCCAAAATTTTTCAGTGTTTCAAACCATGTACTAGCACCAAGTTTCTTGCTGTTTTTGTATTTTGCAACCGATTTATGGAAAGTTTTCAGCGTAACAAACTACAATGCCTGCCAAAAGTACTTGGAACACCCGACTATTTACGCTGCATTTGATATTTTTCATTCCTTTCATGAAAAAAAATTACTTCTTCTGCTCCCTTCGCCCTAAAATGATGTTGATAATTTAGAGAAATATCATAAAATAAGCGCAAAAGGAAGGGCTTTCTAAAATTCCTAACCCGTTTGATAGTAAACCAACATTGTTCTGTAGGGGAGAGGGGGGTGGTTGATTTTGACCTTGGAAATTGACGTCGGTGTTCCAAAACTTTTGGCAGGCATTGTATGTACTTTCACTAATTTCATGCTTTCATCTTGATTTGCACGATTTCTTTGCTAACACCCTTTATGCTAACACCGCTATGGTCCAATGACTTTCGAAGGGATATGTCAAACCTATTACGTCACAGCATCGATCATATCTCGTTCTAGTGGCATCATTTTTGAATGTCAATTTTTAGGGCTTTCGAGCGCTTTATTTAGCTAATTTAAGTCAGAGAAAGGAATGGACAACCGCATTAAGTCTACAAAATATGTGACAACCGCATTTCGCTCCATACGACCTTCAATCTTGTAGACAGGGAATTTTGTAAAAAAAAACTAGCAAGCTGTCTAACCTCAAATTTTATTTCATACACCAACTAAATCGACCATGGAGATTTCAAATCCAAGATGGGCCAAAACAATTTACACCGGGAGTTGCTTGTTTTTGATGAAGCCATCATAAATTGATAAAAATTCTTTAAAAATTAGCCAAAGACTTGACCTCAACTTTTATTGCATTTTTCAACTAAATAAACTATGCAGATTTAAAATCCAAGATTGAATGGAAAATGTTTTGAACAGAATTCAAATTTTTTGATGACGTCATCAACTTAGGAAAATTCACTTTGAACTGCATTAATTGTCTTATCGCAACTATTTTTGTCAACCAAGTTCCATATTTGCATAGCACATATTCAGTGCTTTTGAAGGATGTATAGAATTACTATTTTCCTACTTCTAATCGTTTTTTGCATGCCGTTATCATCATTTTATCACGTCATAATCCTTGTTGTCAAGGTAATATTCTATCTGGCGCTTTGGATTCCCCTCCAAGGTGCCAAATGAGCACAACAGTTACAAAGAGAACAAAACCCTAATTTTACCAGATTGTAAGGGTAACTCTTGGAATTTCCCCAAACATGTTCTTGAAACATTTTTATTTAGTTTATCTGCTTAGATTGGCTTCGAAGAGACAGTCAATCTCGTACGAGAGTCGGTCCAACTTTTCCTGACACCCCCATGAAAAATTATTTTATTTGGGACCCTGTGCTCACGTGGGGGTCAGTCTATCCTTGACATACAAGGTTAAAAAATATAAGAGCATAACGAGACTGCCAATCTTTTCAGGAAAAGACAATAATGCTCTTGAATTTTGGGATTTGCTTTCAACCAACATACAGTAAATACCCTCATTTAAAAACCCCCTTGTATAAGAAAAGGGCCTCATTTTCTTCAAAACGTGCTTATTTTAAAAGAAATAATTTTGGCCTAAATTTAAGATATTTCTTATTTTTAAGTATAAACATGTGTGTATTCTATTGATATGAAAAATTATCCTGTAGAATATGTATTATACACTACTATCAATACACATGTAATATTAAATAAACATATGTAACATAGAAGCTACTGTCAAATAGCTTGACTTGATTTGACTTGACAGTATCTATTGATAAGAAACCTGGTGATATAAGTCTTTGTAATTTGTCTTTAATGAAGATGAAAATTCGCTTTAAAAGCAGGAAATGAGACACATCACAAGAGACAGACAGAAATAAAAAATCTTTTCGCATGTTCATATTGTAATTGGTAAACTTTCAGCCTGTTTAAACAAACAAACAGATCGGCCCGTCGCTTGAGATACTATTCTTATTTGAGCATACTGTTTCTACAGCGATACCATAGACTCCGCTGGTAGTTGGAAAGTAGGGACGGGGGGAGGGGAGTGAATTTAAGATGTTGCGAGGGAATTTAAAAACTCATAACAATAGCTTTTGCAAGGATTAAAGATAGGTATACAGCATAGCTTTGTTTTTCTTATTGTATTTCTCTAAATGCTTATTGTATGCCAGTAAGCAATTAACGCTATTTTTTTCCTTAAAGCTATATTAATGATAGTTTTTGCGCTGGAGATAGGTGTAAACCCCCACTTTTTTCTTCAACCGAACCTAGAACCGATTTTTTCCACTTGTCAGGAGCCAGTGTTCTAAAATCTTGCCAGAATGACTTTTCTTTCTAATGCCTGATTATATGGAATCAAGCTGGCCCGGTAAGAGGCCTGGCTCGTTTACCGAGGCGGAATTTACGTTACGGCTGTATTTGCCTGCGCATTACAGTTCTGCGCATTGTATCTGAAAAGGTTGGAAATGTAGAAGTTAAATGACGCGGCATCATCGTGGAGTAAGTAAAACAATGCTTATCTTGAAAATTGTTGAATTCCATCGTCGCTTTAAACTCCTTCAAGCTTTCGAGCAACTTTCTAATCATTATTCCATTTAAACTTTGCTGCTGTTGACACAGACTTCTTTTCTGAGACTTTTCCGTTACGTTTTGTAGCAGCAGCAGCAGATTTACTGACTTTGTCGGTCATTTTGATTCTTGTGACACGTCATTGAAAAGAAACTGCGCATGCTTCAGTGTGTGTTTTCAGCCCGCTTGCCAGGCTGGCTCGGCTTGATGCGATTACATGGAAACGAGCCAGCCATTTTGGCGAGCCAGACCGCTTACACGAAAGCGAGCCAGCTCGCTTGCCGGGCTGGCTCACTTCCATGTAATAGCAGCTTACTTTTCACTTGCAACAGACCATAGACGTGAGCTGGCCCGTCTGCCGAGCCAGCCCGCTTACCGGGCCAACTCTCCCCATGCGATCAGGTCCTGAATAGGTGTACGTTCTCTGCACATTTTAGCTTGAGAAGGATTTTTTTAAAACAGCGCGTGGTTCACTTGATTTCATTGCCTCATTTCCATGTCAACACCTTTTTGGTGTAATTTCCATTCTTTGTGTTTTCTCGTCGCTAATTGGCACCACTTTGGCAGTCATCCATTATCTTGTTTCGTGCATGGTTTTACAATTTCACGCTCAAACTCAAACCCGTTCTGCTATGTTTTTAAGTGGCGTAGCCAGCTACCAGTGGAGTGCCAAATACAGTAATACAATTTTCCTAAATCAAAATAAAGGTTTACGTAGAGTAATTGTAATAGTCACGCCTTCTGCTGTTTCAAAGACCGTAGTTTTATCAGTTTCACCCCAGCAGTGCTTGCTCTCTACGTTTTCTAGAAGAAACGCTTGAATGACTTGAGAGAGGAAAAATAACATCAAGCTCACTGTACTTTTAAGAGTTATCTTTTGCTTTAAACAATAACATGTTTCATAATGAACAGTAAATCGTAATCGATATTTATATAAAAGATTTTCCCAGCGCAATGCAAGGTAAAAGAATGGTATTAATAAAAAAGCAACTGCTTCGCTTTGGCTTTATTTGAAAGTTTTACCAGTCACAGACAATTGCTTGCTCCTCTGGGAGCTCTGGCTACACGACAAAATATTCTCCCTCGAATGAGATGCTAGCAAATATTCGCAGCAAACGCATGTAACAACATATTGGCAGTTTCTAAAAACGTAAAACAGCAAAATATTCCCGCATAGCCCCTTAAATAACAATTTTTGACATACAAATTATTACCCAAATAACTGT